GGAGAGATAATTGCACACCTTCAGTTGGACTGGGAAGCCCCAGTCCTGTTGGTTAAAAGGATTCCAGGAGCTCCTCTAAGCATTGGCTCAGACGGCAGAAACAGTGCAAGAGGCAGGCAGCTAGCTTAGTGCAGGCTTCTCCCTAAAATACTGTTTCATGAGAGACCCCTGTTTAGAAATGGCTGCTAGCCTATGGTTTGTTTGTTTGTTGTTATCTTTTTACATTTAAGCCCAGTTAATCCACCAGGATCCCTTCTTAGTAGGTTTCTTCTTTCTCAGGGTCCACACCTTCCTCATCCCTAATTTTGTATGTTGTCTTTCTAGCCCTAAACTTAATTTGATTCTTGTTTTTTCTTGAAGAAACCACTCTTGCATTTGTTAATCAATTTTTGTATTTCTTACATCTGAACTTTTTTAAAACATGAAAAATAAAGTTTTTTTTTTTTAATAGTTTACTAGAGGCTCAGTACACTGATTCATGTACTGGTGGGATCCTGTCTTCTAGTGAGTTGTCTGCCTTCAAAGAAATCTGTGAAAGTATTGATGCCACTCTTCTCACTAAAAATTTTTGTATTTTTGCCTGGCTGGTGTGGGTCACTGGTTGAGCATCAACCTATGAACTATGAAGTTACAGTTTGATTCCTGGTCAGGGCACATGCCCATGTTGCGGACTCAATCCCTAGTTGGGGGCATGTAGGAGGCAGCCGATCAATGATTCTCTCTCATTGATGTTTCTCTCTCCCAATCTTGCTTCTTCTATGAAATCAATTAAAAAATATATATGTATTTTAAAGTTTTTGTATTTTTGCTCTGGCTGGTGTGGCTCAGGTAATTGGAGCATCATCCCATACACTGAAAGGTTGTGGGTTCGATTTCCCAGTCAGGCCACATGCAGGAGGCAACTGATGGAAGTTTCTCTTCCTTTCCCTCTCTCTCTCTCTCTAAATTCAATAAAAGTATTTCCTCAGGTGAGGATTTAAAAATTTTAAAAAGTGCCCTAACCTGTTTGTCTCAGTGGATAGTGCACTGACTTGCAGACTCAAGGGTCCCAGGTTCGATTTCGGTCAAGAGCATGTACCTTGGTTGCAGGCACATTCCCTGTAGGGGGTCTGCAGGAGGCAGCTGATTGATGTTTCTCTCTCATCGATATTTCTTTTCTTTTTTTAAAAAATATATTTTATTGATTTTGTACAGAGAAGAAGGAAGAGAGATAGTTAGAAACATCGATGCGAGAGAGTCATCGATCAGCTGCCTCTTGCATACCCCCTACTGGGGATATGCCCGCAACCAAGGTACATGCCCTTGACCAGAATCGAACCCGGGACCCTTCAGTCCCCAAGCCAACACTCTATCCATTAAGCCAAACCAGTCTCAGCTCTCTCATCGATATTTCTAACTCTCTCTCCCTCTCCCTTCCTCAGTAAAAAAATCAATAAAATACATTAAGAAAATAATAAAAAGTAATATAAAAATTTTTGTATTGGAAAATAAAATTACTTTTTACAATAAATCTTAATTATATTAATATGTAATGTGTTGTTTATGAGTTATATGCATTAATAGATTTCAAAAAATTCCTTTGTTTTTAAAAATATATATTTTTTATTGATTTTTTGCAAAGAGGAAGAGAGAGGGATAGAGTGCTAGAAACATCGTTGAGAGAGAAACATTGACCAGCTGCCTTCTGCACATCCTCCATCAGAGATGTGCTCGCAACCAAGGTACATGCCCTTGACCGGAGTTGAACCGGGGACCTTTCAGTCCTCAGACTGACGCTCTACCACTGAGCCAAATCGGCATGTTCTTTTTGTTAAGCTGCATGAGTTCCCTATAAATGTTGGAGATTAAACCCTTATCATAGATATCATTGGTGAATATGTTCTCCCATGCAGTGGGCTTTATTGATGGTTTCCTTTGCTGTCCAAAAGCTTTTTATTTTGATGTAGTCCCATTTGTTTATTTTCTCTTTAGCTTCCATTGCCCTAGGAGTAGTATCAGTAAAGACGTTCTTTCAGCATATATCTGACATTTTACTGCCTGTGGATTCCTCTAGTATTTTCATGGTTTCCCATCTTATGTTTAAATCCTTTGTCCATGTTGAGTTTATTTTGGGGTTTGGTGTAAGTTGGTGATCTAGCTTCATTTTTTTTTTTTTTTTTTGCATGTATCTGTCCAGTTTTCATTTCATTCCCTTCGGGCCTGGTATGTTTCTGTTGAGAAATCAGTTGATATTCTAATAGGAGATCCCTTGTAAGTAACTTTCTGTCTCTGTCTGGCAGCCTTTAAAATTCTTACTTTGTCGTTAGTGTTCGCCAATTTAATTATGATGTGTTTGGTGTCGGTCTTTTGGGGTTCAACTTGTTTGGGACTCTATGTGCTTCTTGGACTTGCATAGTTTTTTTCTTACTAATATGAGGGAAGTTTTCTGTCATTATTTCTTCAAAGAGGTTTTCTCTTTCTTGCTTTTCTTCCTCTCCTTCTTGTATCCCTATTATTCGAATGTTGTTTCGTTTTGTGTTGTCCCAAAGCTCTCTTAGGCTCTCCTCTTGCTTTTTAAGTCTTCTTTCCAGTTGCTGCTGTATTTGTGTGTTTTTTCCTACCTTGATTTCTAATTCGCTGATGTGGTCCTCAGCCTCTTCTAGTCTTCTGTTTAAGCCTTCCAACGTGTTCTTTATTGCAGCTATGTCATTCTTCATATCCTCTTGGTTTCTTTTCATGTTGGTGGCATTTTCATTCAGCTCCTTATAGTTCTCATTGAGTTGTGTGTTTACTCTGAATTCTTTCTCAGTTAAGCTGTTAGCCTCAAGTTCATTTAACTCCCTTTCTGGTGATTCCTCTTTATCTTTCCTTTGTGGTTTGCTTTTTTGTCTCCCCATGTTTTCCTGTGATGTTTTAATTGTAGATTCAGTTGCTTTGCTACCCAGGTTCTTTCGGGGATGGTGCTACTAGTGTAATGTCTCAATTCTCCTGGGCTTGGTAATCTAGTGTTCCCTACTTGAACTATTTGGGTTCTTTTGATGTAGGTCTGCAAGCTTGAGAGGCACAACTGCCATGTCTGGAAGTCAGCAATCGTGGAGGGGAGTATCCCAATTTTTGCTGTCTTACACCCTAAATTGAAATCACACTTGCCCTGTGGGGACTCATAATGGCACCAAGGAACCGACTGTCAGGGTGATATGGCTCAGGGGTCTTGCACTCTAGAAAGGTGTGGCTGTGTTGCCCAGAGTACTGTAGTTGTGGGGTGGGCAGACTCAGCTTTTGCTGCTGCACCTGTGTGGATAGGCACTTACTCCCAGTGGCGGCTCACAGGAACATCCACGGTAAGTTTGCCAGTGAGGCACACTGAAGCACTCCGAAGGGCCCTGGCAGTGTAACTGCGTAATTGAGGTGCCTAAATTTTTCTTTTGGGCAGTTCCATGGCCTCAGGGAGTATTCAGATTTCATGGTGTTAATTAGGGAGGAATTGGGTGTGGCTATATTGGTTGCCTGGAGACTGGAGGGAGGGGCTATCTCTCAGGAGAAAATGGCGACCAGGGACCAGATGTGACTCAGCACCAAGTGTGCTTCCACCTCTCTTGAACCGTCTGCCTCCTACTTTCCCTAGATTCCACAACTCCCTCCCTTCTCCTGCACCTCAGCCACAGTTAAGTGTCTGTATCTGAAAGATCCTACGAACTAGGTTCAGTGGAGAAAGACACAGGTTCCAGCACGAGGAGGGACCCCGTCTTTACAAGCTCCTCTCTTGCCAGCACTGCGTGGTTGGGCAGCTAGCTTTTCAGCTGCCTTTGAGCTCAGATCGTAATCCAGACCCCAAGTTCTAAACTCCACAACCTCCTGCAGTCTCATGGACCCTTTTTCTCACAGTCAGACGCTTTGCCTATGTAGTTTTCCCCTGACCTTCTGGACATAGAGATCTGGCAGATTCTATTGCCCAGATCCATGATTTTACCTTTTTTTTCAGGACATCTCTGCCCTTCCCAGTTGCAAACTTTCTCACCAGCTGCATCTCCTTCACCAATTCAGGCTGGATTCCTCTCGTTTCAGCTGCTCCCTCTATTTGCTCCGGGACAAGGCTCAGGACACGTCTGCCTATTCTGCCGCCATTTTGTCTCCTCTAGAGACATTTTTGAAAGGGATCAGAACAGCGATAGGATGTCATGAAGCTGGATAGAGATTATAAGAGGATCTTGAGACCCGGGATGACAGCGTGGCATGAAGTGCCTGGAAAAGGGGCCTCCATTGGGCGGTGGCACAGGGGATGAAGGCAGAAATGGGAGGACATGCAGTGATGGCCAAGTTTTATTCTCAGCCCTTGCTCTCTCACAGGACCTGGTTAGGCAGAGTCTGTTGATGTATGCACTTTCTACAAGGAGATAATGGGTAACCTGCACCTGTGTCTGGTTTGCATCACAAGGTGATCACAAGGCCCAGATGTAGTCACTGTCTTTTGACATGAAGTTGCAGCCGTGGTCTGATATTAGGTTGGGTACTTCCCAAAGATCTGATATTTATGCTGTGTTCAGATCCCAGGGCAAGAATAGGAAATCATTACGACTGTTCAGTTTTCAGGGTAAAAAATTTACACTAGTTTTCTAAGATTAAATCAAAAGACCTAAAATCATTATTTTAACAAAAATAGGCGGGAAACGCCGAAACCGGTTTGGCTCAGTGGTAGAGCGTTGGTCTGCGGACTGAAAGGTCCGGGTTCGATTCCGGTCAGGGGCATGTACCTTGGTTGTGGGCATATCCCCAGTAGGGGGTGTGCAAGAGGCAGCTGATCGATGACTCTCTTTCATCAATGTTTCTAACTTCCTCTATCCCTCTCCCTTCCTCTCTGTAAAAAATCAATAAAATATATATTTTTTAAAAATAGGCGGGAAACTATTCTTGTGGAAAAAGATACTTGTGGATCTTGGTTAGTGATGTCGATAATGCTATTAATAAACTCTAGCAAAATTGTGCCTACTGCCTTTGACCTGTTATTTGCTTTTCTCTCGCAGGCGAAAGGGCATGTGGTTCCAACTGAGGAAGATACTTCTATGTATTTTGGGATTATATATTGCCATTCCATTCCTCATCAGACTATGTCCTGGGATACAGGCCAAATTGATTTTCTTAAATTTTGGTAAGTGCCTTGTGTCTGTTTTTTTTTTTTTTTTTAACCTTAGTAAAATGATAATTTATACATGGGCAAAAGTAGGTTTACAGTTGTTCGTGTGGAAAATGAGACAATAAATAATACAAGAAAAAACTGTTTCATGTACTCATGACTGTAACCTTACTTTTGCCCCACCCTATATTTATGTATCTACCACCCAGATCAAGAGATAGCATGTTTCTATTACCCAAAAAGTTCCCTGTGCACCTTTCCAATTACAGGTTGTAAGGAGTGCATTGCTCTCCAGGGCTAGCATTTGTGTACACAGATGACCATTTTAAAAAATAATGATTAGGCTTTTTTTTATTTTTAAAAATAGATCTTTTTTCACTTAAAAACACCTGACATATTTTGGTTTCTATGAAAGTATATGTTGGCTTTATAGGTGTTATAGTCTTCTTGAGTTATCTTGGACTTTGTGTGTTCCAAAGGTGGGGTTTATTTATTTTTTTTATTACCTCCTACTCACTCACCCTCCCCTGCCTTCCTTCTGAGATTCTGCACTCTGTTCCATGCTTCTATGTTTTTGGATCCATTCCACTCATCAGTTTGTTTTATTACTTAGATTCCCAGAGGTGTTTGTTTTGTGTGTGTGTGTGTGTGTGTGTGTGTATGTGCGCGCGCCTGCATGTGTACTATGTATTTACTTTTTTGCAAATGGGAGGAGAAAGGTGCAGAAGTATCAAACATATGAAATAGAAGTTCTGTGGTTGCTGGGAATAATCCTTTTAAGGAGCACCATTTTTAAAAATAATATTTTTTAAATTGATTTCAGAGAGGAAGGGAGAGGGAAAGATAGGAACACACTGTCCTGATCCATGATGAGAGAGGATCATTGATCGCTATCTTCTGCACTTTCCCTACTGGGGATTGAGACAACAACTCCGGCATGTCCCCTGACTGGGAATTGAATCATGACTCCTTGGTTCATAGGTCAACGCTCAAACACTGAGCCATGCTGGCCGGGCAAGGAGCACCATTTTATATCTACAAGATGAGACTAAGAGGACATTTATGTTTGTTGATGTTAGAGTTAAGAGGATAGAACATGGTGCTCTGTAAATGGTAGCCTTCAAATTGGGTATTGGTAGCATTTGAACCAGATGAAGTTGTCCCTGTGTATGCTCTTTGGCTGTGTTGGTTTGCAAAGAGTGGACTTGAACCGTATGTGTTTGAGAGCCAGAGACTAGGGCTGAGGATGGTGCCATGGAGGCAGCAGGGAAACAATTAGAGAGGAAGGAGGAGGAAGAACGTGAGGGCCAGGGGGAGGTCAGACAGGAGGTGTTGAGATGGTCCATCTATGACTGGCCTGGTCCATGCTAGGAGAGACACACTGGGTGGGTGTGTCATAGGAATCCACAACCCCCTTCCTATGGTAACACAAGTGCTCCCAGCGCCCCAGGTGTCTGGGTATACAAGTTTGGGGTGTTAAGTCTGTAATAGACTTACTAGCAAAAACTTGGAAGTTGCTGGTTAAAAAGGAATTTGCCCTAAAGAGTAACAACAGTATTTTTATTTAATGTCAAACTAGAACTTTCTTGCTCCCTGACCATCTTGGCAGCCGCTCTTGGTTGGGGGCTGTCCAAGATAGAAAGAAAGATAGTAACCACAAAGAAGATGAAAAAGTCACTGGAGTCAATGAGCTCTAGACTCCTACTTGTTATAAAAGGTGGAAAGTACATGTTGGAGTATAAACAGAATCTGAAAATATCAGACAAGGCAAAGTGAAATTGGTCATTCTTGCCAGCAACTGCCTAGCCTGGAGGCAATCTGAACAAAGTTACTGCAGCAGGTTGGCTAAGATTGTTGTCTATCACTGCCATGGCAATGATATTGAATTGGGCACAGGGTGTGGGAGATACTGCAGGTGTGCACACTGGCTGTTGTTCATGGAGGGATTTTGATATCAGTAGAAGCATGCCAGAACAGACTGGTGAAATGAAAATCATACAAAAAATTTTTCTAATAAAATTAGCCAGAATGTGTTTAAAAACATTTTTTTTAATTGTAAAGTAATGTAGTATACTAAGAGGCATTTGACTTTTCTAACAGAAACATAGCTCAACTTCTGGGAATTTATCATCTCTAAGTTTTTATCATTTGTGAGAAGCTCAAATTTAAAAGGAACTTACAGTATACTAAAAAGGGAATTTGGAATTTTTTTTTTTTTTTAAAGAGTCCACAGCCTGTCTAGCACAGAAGAGAATTAGAATTTATATATATATAAACAAAGCTACAAGGCTGCAGATTTCCTGATAGCAGACCTTAGAATTGGCCTTGCACAGTTTTTCAACTTTGCTGGTCTGCAGGTGCCTTGGGCTGGTGTCTTTGTGGCAGCGGGTACGTGTGGCATGCTGCTCTGTGAGTCCTACAGCAAATATTTGAATTGAATTGATTGCTTCAGATCAATTATTTGGGCTACTTTAGACACAGCTCACAGATTTTGCTGATTTGGTTTCCTAATGAAATTGCAGGATGGCCAAAACCGGTTTGGCTCAGTGGATAGAGCTTCGGTCTGCAGACTGAAGGGTCCCAGGTTTGGTTCCGGTCAAGGGCATGTACCTTGGCTGCGGGCACATCCCCAGTGGGGGGTGTGCAAGAGGCAGCTGATCGATGTTTCTCTCTCATCGATGTTTCTAACTCTCTATCCCTCTCCCTTCCTCTCTGTAAAAAATCAATAAAATATATTAAGAAAGAAAGAAAGAAAGGAAAAAAGAAAGAAAGAAAAAAAATTGCAGGATGTTCCTCAGGAACAGAACTTTGCCAGCCCCAGTGGCACAGAAGAGGAGGCTTGGGCCACACTGGCGTTTTTAAAGGAGATTTTTGGTTAGTTGTCTGTGCCCCCTTCCCCTGCAGAGGAGGTGGGGATCTCTAACACAGCCCTGTAGTGACTTGGCGGTTTCACTTCATGTTGCTGGGATAGTACTTCCATTCTTGTCTCTTCAAAATGTGAATCATGAGCCTGTGGATTTCCATTTAGATATCAAAAGAAATGTAACAATCTTTTAGGCTTCAAAATATGATTAAAGAATATATATTTAAGTTCACAGTAAATCTATTTGAAGCCAAATTTGTAAATCAGATAAATACACTTTAGAAGAAGGTTAGCACTTATGATTTAAGGCATTATTCTTACTTTAAAGAAATTTTCACAGGCAAAAAAATACATGATCATTCTAAAAGATTAACTGAAAATGCCTTATTCAACAACGAAGAAAGTGAAAATCACTCTGAGGAAATTGTTAACATTGTCATTTATTTCCTGCTGGTCTCTTGTCTATCTTACACAGAAACATAAATGTATGTGTTTCTCGATACTCACAGCAGTTCTCTTGCCCTTAAATCTACAGCTGTTTCCTAGTGAAAAGAAGTGTTTTGGTTTAAAGGCCTGCACAGGAACTGCTCCTCTCTGCACATTGCTTTGGCCTTTTTTGGAAATAGGTTAGATATATGAAGTATGTATTTGTTTGTTGTTATTGTTTTTTTGTTAATCCTCATCTGAGGATATTTTTTTCATTGATTTTTAGAGAGAGTGGAAGGGATAGAGGGAGAGGAAGAGAGAGACATCCATGTGAGAGAGACACATCGATTGGTTGTGGGTCCTCCTTCTCCCCCGCACCCCCCTCCCCTACTTGCTCCAACCAGGACCAGGATCAAACCTGCAACCCAGATACCTGCCCCTAACCGGGAATTGAACCTAAGACCTTCTGTTACATGGGCTGACACTCTTAACTACTGAACACACTGGCCAGGGTGAAATATGTATTTGATTTTGAAGCCAGTTCATTTCAGTGATTATCGAGACAAGAGTGTTTAAGCCTCCTTTTTGCTTCCCTGTAGCAGTCCAACAGTTAACCTCCGACAGCTTTCTTTTCTGTTCTTTTTGCTTATGGCAGCCCCTACAGCCTGCATCATGGAGTTGTAATTTGATAAATCCTAGAGTCCTTTTAACCTTCCCTTGTTGGCACTACACGTCATCCAGTGTTGCAGGGTTGCTCCTTGCTCAGTAACTGGGATCAGCTATAGCCCCAATATTTAAAATCTTCAGGCAGTCAAAAATGTTCTTGCTGGTAAATAGTTTCAGCTTCTCACTCTATCAAATATTCTCCAGATTAGTTTAAAAAAAGGAAAGACAGAGTAGTTTTTTTCTCCTTCATTCATATGTTGATTCACTGATGATACATAGAGAACCATTGTGCAGGATCCTTTCTAAATCATGTTCGTTGACAATTGTGGCTGCTGGTAAATGGTGGATATGGCCAGAGAGTAGACAATGCAAAACAGGAAGGAGGAAAAGCCAGAGACCTGGATCCCAGCGGCTGGATGTGCCTTGGGTCCTGTATATTGGGTTTCTGGGCCCTGCAGTCAACCTCTGTGTGAGGTGGAGTTTGTAACTCCTATTGGACTGCCTTGTCTGCAGGCCATGTACTCTGTCCCTACTCCAACCCTGTATATAATGCACGGGCCTACAGGGAGGGCTTCAGCCAGCATCTAGAGTCAGTGGGACCAAGGTATATGATCACATGGGAGGTCAGTGGACCCTGGCCTGTTACTAGTCTGTTCTGTGTTCTCACCCAGGCTAGCCTAGGTCTCCTGTACCTCTCAGCCCCATTCCTTTGCTTTGTGGCATTTCTGCTCACTTAGACCAGTAGTGGCAAGGTAGTTCTTCTGGCCACTGCTCTAGGGTTGTCTGACCCCCAGGAGTAGCCAGAGGCCCTCATTAGCTGGAGGGGAGATGCATGGACAGCATCTGCTGGACTTGGGGCATGTACTACCTCCTTTTTCACGGTTGTTTCTAAAACACAAAAGTGAATTGGAAGACGAGCTTCGTGGAATAAGTCTATTCTGGAGTAGAATCTGATTTCTCCATTCCTAGCTTTCTGGGGTTTGGAGGCTTTGGAGATTAGCTGCTAATCTCCGTAACTACTTTTCAGGGGGCCGTCCTCTGAGCTATGGAGTAGCTATATGTATAATAGCTTGGCTGTCTCTCTCCTGACACAGAACCAGTCAAGGCTTGGAAACTGAGCCAGCAGAAGTCAAGTGCCCTCAGCCCTTGATGGCACCCACTTTCTGTTTGGCACTGGGACTGGGGTATGTAATTCTAGTCTTAGGAGCAGAATTGACTAAATAGTTTGGATGTAGGGTTGACAGTGGGCACTATGTATGGATATTCAGAGTTTCATTGAGGAAGTTATTTCGCTTCATCGTTGTCGGATGAGGAGCTGTCATATCCGGCTGCAGCCTTCAGATTCCACAGCCTGGAGCAGTCACAGAATCGGGACTGCAGGAGTAGGTGCCTGCATCTGAAACAGTGCGAGGAACAGAAGTCCTTCTCCCGCCCTCCTCCGAGTCCCATTGTCGGAGTAAAATCTGAACTCCATGGCATGGCTGCATTCGTTCCCAGGTTGTGAAATAAGTACCACACACTGGTGGGCAGACTTAAAACAACAGAAATTTACTCCCTCCCAGTTCTGGAGGCTGGAAGTCTGAAAGCAAGGTGTCGACAGTGCCATGCTCCCTGAGATGGCGTGGAGTCCTTCCTTGCTTCTTCCTAGCATCTGGTGTTGGCCAGCGATCCGTGGTGTTCCTTGTTTGTGGCTGCACCACTCTAGTCTCAGTCTCCAGTGTCACATGGCTACCTTCTCCCTGTGTCTTTACATTGTCTTTTTCTGTCCTGCTCTCACTGTGTGTCTCAGTTATCCCTTTTGACAAGGACAGCAGTTATATTGGATGGGAATCTAGCTAACAAGCTTGGTTATTCTGTGAAGACCCTATTTCCAAATAAGGCCACATTGTGAGCACTTTTTCGTGTCCTTTTGGGCGGGGCACACAAGCCAATCCATAACAGGGCACTTGGGGTCAGAGAGAATTAGGACCAGTTTACCTTTCTCACTTCCTGTCTGATTAGTCAAGAGTGTGGGTCATGGAGTCGAGCAGCCACGGTGCTGCAAATCCTAGTTCTGTCCCATGTGAGCTGGTGACTTAACCAGAGCTATGAAACACCAGTAATACCAGCCTATCAGGATGGTGTGCAGGTTACAAGAAGTGCTGTGGTGAGGGCATGAACATCACCGTGCTGGCACCATAAAAGCACAAGGGAATATTATGCCACCTCCTTTGGTTGCCATTTTTCTCTTGAGAGAAAACGATAGTTAATGTTTTTTAAAAAAATGTTTCCTGCTTTTTAAGGAAGAGATGGGTTAAAAAGCTGGAGGTAATGAAAAGCATCCTGGTGGGAGGATTTGTCTCCTGCATGGTCTGAAACGTTCGCTCAGGGAATTTCTGAGGAAAGAGCATGTGTATATCCCCATATCCTCAGGAGCTGGATACTTTATTTCTTCAGCAAATGTGTACTGAGCTGCAGGGACATTTCAGGAAATGAGAGCCAGATGTGCAGATTATGTGGTGGGAGAGCATTCAGGCAAAGGGGACAGCAAGTTGCAAAGGCTTAGGAGCAGGAGGCTGATGTGTGCAGCTCAGAAAGGGGACAAGCGGGGCAGATGAGCACACTTGGCTTTTATATCACGAAGATGCATGAGGTTACTTAATGAAACTGCTCGCTTCACCAAAGAAAATTAACAGTGTTTGTAGCTTCCTTACAAAAGGTGGGATCAGTAATACAGGACAATATTGCTATTGTTACTACCTCCTTTAGGAGGTGCCATTTGATAAAGTGAATAAATATCACCTCAGTGTTTTGGGCTTTTTAAGTATTTTATTTTTTCATTGAATATACCGTCATATATGTTCACCACAAGCAATAAAAGTACAGTGATATAGTCCATCTGGTTTGGCTCAGTGGATAGAGCGATGGCCTGCGGACTGAAGGGTCCCAGGTTCGATTCTGGTCGAGGGCATGTACCTTGGTTGTGGGCACATCCCCGGTAGGGGGTGTGCAGGAGGCAGCTGATTGATGTTTCTCTCTCATTGATGTTTCTAACTCTATCCCTCTCCCTTCCTTTCTGAAAAAAAAATAATAAAATAATTTTTTAAAAAGTACAGTGATATGTAAGGGAAAAATTAAGCAACACACACACACACACACACACACACACACACTTTGTTAACAGACTGGCATGTGTGTATTTCTGTCTTACTAGCCACTCATGGGTGGTGTTGATGTTGTTAGCTTCTTTTTACAATAGTGATGTGGATTATGCAGCACACCCTGTGTTCTTAACTGCTTTTTCCTTGCTCTTCTCACCTGTAATTCTCATCAGTGGATCTGATCAATCTGTAATGGCCCCAGGATTTAACAAAAAAAAAAAAAAAAAAAAAAAAAAAATATATATATATATATATATATATATATATATATATATATATATATTGATTTTTTACAGAGATGAAGGAAGAGAGATAGAGAGTTAGAAACATCAATGAGAGAGAAACATCCATCAGGTGCCTCCTGCACACCTCCCACTGGGGATGTGCCCGCAACCAAGGTACATGCCCTTGACCGGAATCGAACCTGGGACCTTTCAGTTCATAGGCCAACACTTTATCCACTGAGCTAAACAGGTTTCGGTGGTCCCAGGATTCTCCATAGTGTATGTGCATCACAGAATTCTGCCCTATTGGCAGATCACTTGTTACATTTAGGGCTCCTGCTCTATTGCTAACTTGACAGCAGTCAACTTTGGATAGGTTCATCCACTTCCCTGCATCCACACCTCATCTTCTGCCATCCTTTGGCGTTAAGTGGCGGCACTAGAAATGGAGAATCACATTTAGCTATCACATACCCATGTTCAATTGCTTGTCAAGTCCTGTGGCCCCAGGTCCAGAACACCATCTGTCTGTCACCTTTCCCACCATCTCACCCACTAACTTCCCAGCTCTAGCTTTCAGTTGCAGCCTACCCGAGCTGCTTCTGGAGGCCTCTCTCATGGCCAGGCTGACCCTAGCTTTCAGTTGCAGCCTACCCGAGCTGCTTCCCGAGCTGTCTCTCTCATGGCCAGGCTGACCCTCATGTCTCAGGGATCTTTCCTTCCTCAGTTGTATCTTCTCACACCTTATGTAATCAATCCTCAGATGTGTCCATCTCTAATCAGACTTCATCCTTGCTGGAGGTTATGAAGATTCACTCACAGTGACCCAGAGCAGTCCCCTTTTTCTTTTTCTTTCTTTTTTTTTTTTTTTTTTTTAGCATCCAAAACATTTTTAGTAATATGATAGGATTTACAGTTAGTTCTTTTTTTTTTTAAATATATTTTATTAATTTTTTACAGAGAGGAAGGGAGAGAGATAGAGAGCTAGAAACGCTGATGAGAGAGAAACATGGACCAGCTGCCTCCTGCACACCCCCGCCCCCCGGCCGGGGATGTGGCCGCAACCAATGTACATGCCCTTGACCAGAATCGAACCCGGGACCTTTCGGTCCGCAGACCGACACTCTACCGCTGAGCCAAACCGGTTTCGGCTACGGTTAGTTCTTAAAGTCTCTTGCACGCTAGAATTGCGGGCCCTTGGATTGCACGTAGGGTTTGGTGTGGCTGTGGGGGGTTCCTGAGGCCTTGCCGAAATGCCTGTATACCTCGCAGCTCTTGCCGAGGACCAGAAAGCAAGACAGTGCCATAGCCCTTGGGGGAGTCCAGGGCCAGCTGGTGGAAGGTGAGAATCTTGCCCGCAGCCTTGAGAATGCGGCACTGGGCACGCTGTTCACACAAAGGGCACACACCTTCAGTTTGGGCAACTCTTGGATTCTCACGTCATCAGTTATAGTCCCTACAAACCACGGCGGTTTTGCCCTCCCGGCCAGGAACCCTCATCTTCCGGATCATCCAGGAAGGGGCAGAAGTGGCCGGTTGGTGCGACTCATAAACAACCTCTTTAGCACCACTTGGTTGAAAGTGGAGTTGGTTCTTCTGGCCAGAAACCTGTATAGCTTACCCGACAGCCTTAGGTAGATGTCCTGGCTCTTGGGCTCCTTGCGGTCTTTGTTGTGGTGGATGTCGACTCCCATGATGGCACCTTCTGCTTTACCAGTTCCAGAAAGAGGTCCCGGAGCAGTCTTGCCCACAATTCCACCTGAGGCTGGAGGGTCTGGTATGCCTGGCATTATTGAGTTGGGAAAGACTTGGTACTTTTTTTATTTTGAGAGCTTCACCTCGTGTGTGTGTGTGTGTGTGTGTGTGTGTGTGTGTGTGTGTATCCCACTAATCCTGGTTTTCATCTCTTTGTCCCCCCCAGTGAGAGTTCCCTATTTCATTGACTTGAAAAAACCACAGGATCAAGGTTTGAATCACACCTGTAATTACTACCTCCAGCCAGAAGAAGACGTGACCATTGGAGTCTGGTGAGTGTCTGGCCAAATGACTGCAGGGTTGAGGCACCCACTGTGTGGACTCTCCAGGAGGCAGGAAGGACCCTGTGGTCACTGTTGTCCTTGACAGCAGTCTCTAAAACTGTTACATGTCCATTTTAATTTTTACCCACTGTATTTCTAAAGCAAAGAGCTCTGCTGAATTCGATCCTAATGAAGCACGATGAGATGGCACCAAACCAGCCTGAGATTTTCAAACAGCTTTGTGAGCCAGATTGCTTTTTTGTAGAGAGCCTCATTTCCAGGGGAAGAGAAAGTCCTAGAAACAGAGAATATAAGCACAGAATTGTGAGCACAGGCTTGAGGTACACCATTTCTTTTCAGAGACAGGAATGCCTAGATATTGAAAACAGCTTGATTTCTTTTTACATACAGCACTTTGGCAGTTGGTAATTTTGGCGTTTGCTATCTTAGTATTTACTTCTTGTAGCCATAAATTTGAATTGGACTTAAGCTCTGAGACGTCTTTGTCTTTAGGATATGTTTTAATGTTTTCTCTGGGGACAAGTGGGTGTTTTCGAACAATTAGATTTAAATTGATCAGCCTTTCTGTGTTATGTTGTGCTTTTTACTTTCAGAATCACTCTGAATCGCTGTCCCTTAATCTGGATGGGATGTTTTTTCAATGCTATAAAGTCTCTCCCTGCCGTCTCAGAAAACCACTGTGTATGTGAGGAGCTTCTAAATGAAATGTTGTGAATAGCTTCCCAGTGTGGATTGCAAGGAAATCAGGCATTTCTAATAATGGTCCTGGGTAAAGAACCTAAAATGAGAAAGGAGATTTTTGTTCTTACAAGTTGGTTCTGGGACTCTATAGAGTCTTTTGTCATTTCCGACTTGGTTTCACCTATCATTTACTGACCACTATGTGCACAGGGGCACTCTGCTTTTACATCCAGAGCTGTTTGGTGGGGATTGGTTGGCCCTCCTGCTGATTAATGGGGGTTTGTGCTTTGAACACATGGGGATTTAGTTAGGGCTTCTTCCTCCTGTTGCAAAGGGAATTTGTGGTGCTGATACTTAGGCTGAAAGCTCTCTCAGCAGTTACCCAAGAAAGTTGAATTTAGTGACAACAAATACAAGTTCTGGCAGTGACAGGCAGGCTGTGTGCTGATAGGCACCTGCTTTCTGCTCATGTCTGTGTCTTGTGCTGTTGGGAGGACAGTGTGGCCCTTGGGCATCAACTGCTCTCATCAGACATCTCATCAGATCTAAAGCTAAGGATTTGCTTGGCCGTCAGCTTAATCTCAGCTGCCTGTTGTGGGCAGAGTTATCCACCTGGCAGGACAGAGGTGAGCCTTAGGAATATTTGCCCTTTTCTCTTCCTGGAAGCTTTCTGGGCCTTTGTCAAGAGTCCCACGTTTGTTGTAGGTTGTCTATTGGAAATGCCTTAGCTCCCATTACTGAAAGGTACCTTTACACCATTGGATGCTATACAGCTGTAAAAAGAAGGATCTCTTACCCTTTGAGACAGCATGGAGAGACGTGGATAGTATTATGCTAAGCAAAAGTCTAAGAAAGTCAATTATATGATCTCACTCATATATGGAATCTAATGAAACAAAATAAATTGATGAACAAAATAAATCTGGAGACATAGAGCAAAGAAGAGACTGACGAATCTCAGAGGAAAGGTAGGGGTAGGGGAGATAGGAAGGGAGAGCTTAACCAAAGAACTTGTATATATACTAGAGGCCCGGTGCATGAAATTTGTGCATGAGTGGGGGGGGGGAGCAGTCCCTCAGCCCGGCCTGCACCCTCTCCAATCTGGACCGCTCAGGGGATATCCAACTCACAATCTGGGACCTCTGGCTCCTAACTACTCACTTGCATGCCTGCCTGATCGCCCCTAACCTCTCTGCCTGCCTGCCTGATTGCCCCTAACTGCTCTCCCCCTGCTGGCCTGATCACCCATAACCGCCTCTGCCTTGGCCCCGGCCACTGTGGCTTTGTCCAGAAGGACATACTGAAGGATGTCTGGAAGATGTCCAGTCTAATTAGCATGTGCCCTTTTATTAGTATAGCTGTGTATAACCCATGGATACAGACAATAGTGTGGTGAAAGCCTGGGCAGTGCCAGTGCAGGGTGGAGGGGATAGGTGGGGGAAAAAGAGGGACATATGTAGTACTTTCAACAATAAAGATAAGTTTATATATATATATATATATATATATATATATATATATATATATATATATATATGCCTTTCCATTCCATAGGTTTATAATTATAGGAGAGTGATAATTACAGTGGTCAGAACCATCCACAGTGTTATCCCTGGAACTGGTCAAAAGATATGTTAGAGATGAGATGCTGAAACTTAAGAGCTAGAAAATAAGAACTTAGCCATTTACTACAGTATTTTTTTAAGGATTCTTACTAATTAATTTAAATAACTTTTACAGAAAGCCTTATTAATTCAGACTTTCCCAGTGATGAACAGTATTTGATGTGGGCCTGAGTTAAGATTAACTGGAGCATCTCTCTGAAGGAGGGTTTGGCCAGATAGACTGAGTGAGTCTCTGAGAGCCTGGCCGGGTATGCAATGAGCTGGCTGACTGTAAGCTCAGCCACGAGATGGAGCAGCCTGCAACGCCTCCTCTTGCAGACATGGGTCTGCAGATGTGAGTCTGCGAGTTTGGTCTGGAATGTGTTGTACTTTAGAAATGATACCGTGTTTCCCCGAAAATAAGACATCCCCCTGAAAATAAGGCCCCCCTAGGCTAAACATGAGAGATTTGGTCCACGGATTCTGAAAGAAATGGAGTCACAGGAAATTCAGGAATTGGATTGTTATGATGATGTTCCAGAAGATGATGACATGATTGTCAATGAATAAATTCTTGATACTGTAGGATTCACAGTTTGTCTGGTTTGTGTTGACAACTACCGTACTACCTTACTGTATACAGGTAATAAATTTCCTTTATTTTCATTTAACAATAAATGTGTATTGTATTATTCTTCATGGAAAAATAAGACATCCCCTGAAAATAAGAACTAGCGCATCTTTGGGAGCAAAAATTAATATAAGACACTGTCTTATTTTCAGGGAAACAGGGTACTTTAAGGATGGCCAGGTTTCTAGTGCAGCCCAGGAAGGAGATCAGTGTTGGCTGAATCTAATATGTTGCACTTGTGGCAACATAATACTGTCTTAAGAGAACTGAGTTAAATTGTGTACAGCTTAAAAATATGGGAATGTATGAAGGAAATGCCGTTGTTCAGCTCATATATTTTTTAAAATATATTTGATTGATTTTTTATAGAGAGGAAGAGAGATAGAGTTAGAAACATCGATGAGAGAGAGACATCGATCAGCTGCCTCTTGCACACCCCCTACTGGGGATGTGCCCACAACCAAGGTACATGCCCTTGACCGGAATCAAACCCGGGACCTTTCAGTCTGCAGGCTGCGCTCTATCCATTGAGCCAAACCGATTTCGGCTGTTCAGCTCATATTTATCAAGTGCTCATTCTGTACTAGTCCAGGTTAAGGCCTGGTGACCCATCCAGGTGAGATTTTTCCTCGCAGAGCTCCTAGTTCCTCCTGGAGAAACAGCTGTCCCACACCCCTGGTAACTGCTATCTGTGCGCCTCCTGTGGCCAGCAGATGACCATTTGCAAGTTAGGAAACCTGCTTAAGCAGTCAAAAGCCATCCCTACACCTTGGCGCTCAGAGTTCAGTAATTTATTCTGGAGGCAGGGACAGTTTGCCTCTTCTGTGCACCCGTCCCCTGCTCTCTGCTCGTGTGCCATTGGCTCCATAGTTGTTCCTTCGACAGCCATCATCATCTGGTCGTGCTGTTCCCCTCTGCTTCTGTTTCCAGGCACACTGTCCCCACTGTCTGGTGGAAGACCGCCCAGGGGAAGGACCAGATGTGGTACGAGGATGCCTTGGCTTCTAGTCACCCTGTCATCTTGTACCTGCACGGGAATGCAGGCACCCGGTGAGGAAGAAGAGCTCACGCATGTGTCCTTCGTACAGGGCCGCTCCTTTGTGAGCAGGAGAATCCTGGCCCCGACGGGCTTACTGACCCCCTGCAACGAGGGAGCAGGCACATGGGGAAGAGAGGAAAAGACAGAGTCTTATGGGGTTTGCTGGAAGGTGGGGGGCAGGGTCTAGATGAACTCACATGAAGCAGCATTCCCACAGGCTCAGAGCAAGGCAGGGCTGTGTGCAAAGTGGGCCCCGATCCTCTTTCCTTAGAAGCCACCATGTTAAGCAGATGTCCAGAAACCCCTTATCTGACTCTCCCAGTGGTCTCTGTCAGAGTGACCCAGATTCTGGGGTAGAGTGGGATGTGTCCTGCCTAATGTAATTTAAAAGGCAAAGAGTCTGAGGGCCCGTGTTTTGGGTAACAAGGTTTCTCGGGGGGTAAAGAGGGGTGGTGTGACTCCAGCTGCAGCTTTGGCAGCCCTGTCTGATGACGGCAGGCGGGTTGGCACTTTCTCACTGGCAGGAATGCCCTCCTGGGGGAGGAGGGACACCTAGAAAGGCCAGCGAGTGCTGAGAAGAGGCGGAGATGACACTGAGAGGTTTAGCCAAAGGTAGAGGGAGGTCACTGAGGTGCCTCACATGCTGGCAGGTCAGGGTGACTTTCGTGTGTTCTCTGCTTCCAGCTGTGAGCCAGCAGTGCCTGTGCGTCCTGCTGGGCCAGTGAGGTAGCACAGCTGGCACATAAAGCCCTTGTCCAGATTTATCCCAGCTTCAAGGGTGACTTTGATGCCATGTTCTTCAGACCAGCTGGGATTGGAGCTACCACTGCCCTTGGTCAAAGAGGACTCCTTCCACCCCATGTGGCCAGCCTTACTCAGAAGAGTCTGTGGGAGAGCTGATGTGGGGGTATAGGGTGGAGAGGGGAGGAGGGGGACAAGGGGCATGTGCATTTTCTGAACAAAGCTCTGCCTGAATCCCTTGGGAGGGTCACTGTTGCTGCAGCTGCCTTAGGTCTTGTGAGAGAGCCAGCAAGGAGCTGGCAGGAGGCAGGGCCACTGCGTGGCGCATTGGTTATAGTGGTGGGCTGGGGTGTGGTCATTTTATAGACAGAACCTGCAAGAGAATACTGAAGGGCCTTTCTGGAGAGGAAAGCAGGCCACAGTGGGAGTCTGGGCAGAGGGGCTGTGCAGAGGACAGGCAGGAAGTCCAGGAGGCGTGGCCCACGAGGATGGTTACTGAGCCAAGGAACAGAGTGCCTAGCTACTAAATCATGTGTGCTCTTGCTGTTTGCTTTCTTCTATGTCTGGAACATGCCACAGAGCATTTCTCTTCTTTTAAAGAGCAAGTGGCTACAAACAGCTCTTGTAGTATCTTGGCTGTGAATGAGAGAATTTTGAAGTCTATTGTAAATAAGGTTCAGTTAAGCCAATGGTCGGCAAACGGCTGCTCATGAGCCACATTCGGCTCTTTGGCCCCTTGAGTGTGGCTCTTCCACAAAATACCACGGCCTGGGCGAGAGTCTATTTTGAAGAAGTGGCGTTAGAAGAAGTTTAAGTTTAAAAAATTTGGCTCTCAAAAGAAATTTCAGTCGTTGTCCTGTTGATATTTGGCTCCATAGACTAATGAGTTAAAGCAATGCCAGTCACATGATAAATAAAACAAACTGCCTGTAACTTCAGGCTTAGAGGGATATTGTGAGTTTGAAAGGTTTGCTGCTCCCTCCCACTGCTCCAGAGACTGCCTGTGCTGCAGATCGAGCCTGTCCCTGCCCTTTGGCCAGACTCATGCTGCTCCCTGAGATTCAGATCCCCGGCTGCTTGTGTCATGCTCTGAATCATTTTTTTGTTGTTGTTCAAGGTAGGACATTTGAAAAATTTAGATAAGATCCACCATGAACTCTTCCAAAGTTAACTGCAAACATTGTGCAGTATTTCGTTCTAGACTTGAAACTCATTTCTTTGTATTTTTGTTTCTGCATTGTATTGGTTTCCTCCTTCACCTGGTCCTTGTCTCTCCCAAGGACACACCTTCTCCCCACCCCCAAATGCAAACCTAAAATGGACAAAATGCTCGTTATAAAAAAACACAGCTGAGCAAGCCCACCTGCCAATACCCTCCCTCCCTCCCTCCCTCCCTCTCTCCTTTCCTCCTTTCCTTCCTTCCTTCCTTGTCCTGAGGTGGCCTTGTTCTGAGGCTGCCCCATTCCCACTTTGGAGTCTGTCTGTCCACAGTAACAGTTGACCAACAACTGCACAGAAAGTGAGAAGGAATAGATGGTCCCTGGACAGAGAATACAGACATGTGAAATAGTTCAAATGTATGAAAGCCTATTCAGTCTTGGTAATAAAAAGTGCCCACAAAAACTAGTCTATTGGTGAGGATCTGGGCGACAGCTGTTCTCACACACTTGGGGTAGAAGGTGAGGGCCCTCTGAAGGACTCAGGAGTGATTGTCAAGATTACGATTGCACGCCTTCAGGTAGTAGTTCCTTGTGTAGGAATGAGTCACACACGTGGCTCACATGTATCTGGCCATGGCAGCAAAACTTAAGTCAGCAGCTGGTGGTAAAGAACCAAACGGCACAAGCAAAGTGACCACCGCTAAAAAGAGTGCACTGGTGTACTTGAGAGTTGGCTGTGATATATTGAGTGAAAAGTGAGGTGTGTGTGGCGGATCCTTGTGGGTGTGTGCTTGCAAGTAAAGAAGGGCCTTTTCTTCTGTCATAGGCGGTCCCTGGACAGTGGAAGCTGAGGAAGAGGCTGGATGCTGGGGCAGGAGTGGGTGGGCCTCCTGTGTATCCTCTTGTATCTTTTGGATTTTGTACTGCATGTAGGAATTACCTGGTCAAAAAGAAAAGTAATAATAATTTTAAAAAGTTAAAAAAATTCATTAATTAAAAATAAATAAAAAAATTTTAAAGAAAGAAAAGTAAGATAGTAATTAACAAATATCTCCAAAGTACTAAGACTGTTCCTTGCTTGGCACAGTACTACGACAGGCAAGCTTAGAGCCACTTAGGGTATCCCAAGGAGGAGGTCACCTGTCCACCAGTTTTGGTTTTGGGAACCACGTCCTTAAAAGCCCAGATGCTCCAGTATTGACCCTGGGCCTGCCTCTTTGAGAAGATGCATTAACATCTATTCTTGTTTCCTTCTTCCTGACATTCTAGAGGAGGTGACCACCGAGTGGAGCTTTACAAGGTAGGTGAGCATTGCCAGTATGTGCGGAGAGAGCAGTATCCATAGTCTGTGATGGGCCAAGCACTGTCTGTGACTGAGGGATCAGTGCCCAGATGGTGTATGATGGACAGAACCGTGTCCACAGGGGTCTCTGATGGCGGGGGCATTGCCCGAGTGTTGTTTCCTGTCTGTCCTTTCCAGGTGGCATGAACAGCAGGGAGTTCCCTAATAATTTTGATTGTTAATCATGGTGGCCTTTCTGGCACTGCCTCTTGGGCGACACCATCATGGAGTGCTTCCGACAATGCTGCCTCCAGGAAAGTTTCCAAAATCAGGATAAATGGACCTTGTAGATCTTATGCCAGGTGTTGGCTGATTACATAAGCCGTTTGAAATTGTTTACTAGTACAAGTATGTTAATATAAGAGGAATGGAGAGGACAGAGGGATCAGGTAGCTATACTTTACTCCCAAGTTGCAGACTCAGGAGTTGGGCCCACAGAAGTTTCTCGCCTCACAGGAAGTACAGTCACATTTAAATCGGATTTCAACCCCAGCAGGTCTCCCCAGAAAAAGGGGTTGCTGCAGGCAGGCTTGTAGACCTTCCCTTTACTGGGTTCTTGTCTTCCTCCGGTGTTTGGGTCTCGGAGCCTGAAATGTGCGGTTGTTACCAGTGTCCGGGTCATCCTTCTCTTAGAGGGGCATCTCTTAGAGGGAAAAGGAACTGCTAAGGCAGCAAGGGACACAAGCAGATGCGTGGGGACATCAGTCTCTGTGGCACTCTCTGTCATACACCAGGTGGACTGCCCTGGACTGTGGAGTGTTTGTTTCCCCGTGTGGATTAGATTGGTTCAGGCAAGGGAGTGCTTAGAAAACTGTAGGTCCCGTTTTGAGGTTTCTGTCCATAGAGTGGTCCACACCAGGAACAGTGTGGCTCTGGAGAGTGTAGGATTTGCGGGAGGCTGGGAGCTGACGGTCACCTACAGGAGCAAAGGCCCAGCAGTGACTTTGGGTGACTTGTGGCTGGCAGCTTCCACATGCCTGTGGGCACACGTGAGCCAGCCTGGCAGATGGAGTGGAAGGAGGCTGAAAGTAGGTATCCAGTGAGAAATCTCAAGTCTAGAAGATTTTTTAATAACAGAGACAATTCAGTGAAAGCTTAAAGTCTGAAATATGCTAGGTTGCAGATGGAGTTCCTCCTGGGTTGCTGGGTGGTCAAAGCCCCACTGTGAGCCCCTGAATGCAGAGGTGCAGGTGTGGCTCGGAGCCAAGGGGGAGGCTTCCTGCCCACACTGCTGACGTGGAGGGTTTCGGTGTATCCAGTAGCAGCATTGGCAGTGGGTTTTTAAGATCCCACCGGGATTGGGGCAGCATGATGACAAGTCTTGATTAAGTTTCCCATGTGTATGGGGTGTAAAGGCAGAAGCCAGGATGGGTTCAGTAAGGGGCAAGTTACCCTCTGTCCAAGGTACGGGGATCTTTTTGCCCAGATGTTTATTTTTCACTTCACAGGTGCTGAGTTCCCTTGGTTACCACGTGGTCACCTTTGACTACAGAGGTGAGGGTTCTTTTGAAATTGCATCTCCTAGCCCTCCCACTTCCTCCTATTACCGGACAGGGGACCTGGCCCTTGGCGGGCTGTCTGCTGATAGTTCTTGACTTGGTGGGTCCATGACTTTATGCAGGAAAAATTTCACAACACGGGGGGAGTCCAGGTGAATTTTAGAGGATGTTTATTAAATAAAGCTGGGGCAGTGAAACTAAAAACGCCAGGAAATGAGCCCATGCTGGTCTGCTTTGGCTCACTAAGAAGTCAGAGAAAAGGAGGCCTTGGGGACAGATTCAGGGAGTTAGCCTGGGATGAGCTGCCACTGCCCATTGTTGCCCTCGTTGCAAGCCTGTGAGGTCCCTTAGAATTGAGGAGATGCATGCCTCTGGGGAAAGAAGAGGGAGAGGGCATGCTGTGATGTGCGGGGGTGGGGGGGACCTTCCTTGTTTTGAGGGGATTTAAAGGCTGAATGTTTAGGGGAGGGTCAATAGAATATTCATCAGGTATGTGCTGCTGTTACAAAATGAGATTTATCCTCTTACCTTCGTCTGACCTGGGGTGTGGTTGACAATGGCACTAATTTGAGTTCTGCTGTCTTCCTGAGTAGGGTGATGTAAGCTAATTCCATCCTGGTTGGGGAGGGGGAAGTGCAAATCCTTTATTCTCTAGTGTCCCCGGTTTAGGGAAGATACCATTTACTAGATGGCTGCAAACTGCCTGGCATCTAGATTTCCTAGGTCGGTAAGCCTCAGCTCTCGAGCCACGTGCGGCTCTTTGGCCCCTTGAGTGTGGCTCTTCCACAAAATCCCATGGCCTGGGCGAGTCTATTTTGAAGAAGTGATGTTAGAAGAAGTTAAATGTGGCTCTCAAAAGAAATTTCAATCATTGTACTGTTGATATTTGGCTCTGTTGACTAATGAGCTTACTGACCACTGTCCTAGGTGGCTGCAAACTGCTGTTTATCTGTCTCAGTTTCCCTATTCTCCTTGTCCTGGCTTACTAGCCTGTCCCACTCTAGTTTATGTTTGATGTGTAGCTAGTGGGTTCCTAACCTGTGGTAGCCGTCTGTTAAGGTAATAGAAGGGGACCGGTCCTTCAGTGAGTGTCTGCATGCAGCCCCCAGCAGTGTCTCTGTTAGGCAGGGAGGAGTGCCCTCTGTGAGCAACATTTTAAATGTGGACCATTCTGTCTTTTTATTGGACTCAAGACTTTCTCTGCAGCAGGACATCAGATGTGTTTTATGCTTGGAAGAGTTTGTCTTATTGAGGTTATGAAAACAGGAAAAGGAACTGCTAAGAGAGAAGATTGTTATTCTTGCCCCTGCGGTATTTCTTTCTTGAATAAATCAGAGGGTTTGCCCCTGAAGAGATCAGGAACCCACAGTTTGATGTAAGCTAAGAACATTCTACTTCAGTGAGCCAGGAAATACTTGGTATTAATAGTGAGCAGCTGGGTGAGAAATGTATGCCGCCGCCTTAGTTCTCAGTGGAGAGAGTAAAGGCGGACGGCCACTTGGCTGGCTTATCTTGACCTTCTTGGAGGGCACTGTTGTCCAATATGCTCAGACTGAGGATATGAGTGTTATGTTAGTTAGTTCTTGTTGTTGTAACAAATTACCACAAACTTAATTGTCTTAAAATAGCACATATTTATTGTCTTGCAGTTCTAGAGGTCAGAAGTTCAAAATCTCTAGCATCTGAGCTAAAATCCAGCTGTTGGCAGGGCTGGTTCCTTCAAAAGGTACTATGGGAGCATCTGGTTTCTTGTCTTTTCCAGCTTGTTGGTCATATATATATATATATATATATATATATATATTATTTCAAAGAGGAAGGGAGATGTGGAAGATTCTAGCTTTTGTCTTTATTGGACTCAAGACTTTCTCTGCAGCAGGACATCAGATGCTTTTTATGCTTGGGAGAGTTTGCCTAACTGAGGTTAGGAAAACAGGAAAAGGAACTGCTAAGAGAGAAGATTGTTATTCTTGCCCCTGCAATATTTATTCTTTCTTGAATAAATCGAGAGCTTACCCCTGTAGAGATCAAGAACCCACAGAAAAGGAGAGACAGAAACATCAATGATGACAGGATCATTAATCTGCTGCCTCCTGCACACCCCCTACTGGGGATTGAGCTCGCAACCTGAGCATGTGCCCTTGGCCGGAATCGAACCCAAGGTCCTTCGGTCCATAGGCCAGTGCTCTATCCACTGAGCCAAACCAGCCAGGGCCTTTTCCGCTTCTTGATGCTGCCCGCATTCCTTGACTGCTGGCCCCTTGTATCTGCATTACTTGGACCCTGACTTTTGGGGTCTGGGGTCATTTTACGGTTAGTTTTGCCTTTTTCTTGTATTAGTCTCGCTCTGTTTTTTTTGTTGTTGTTGTCTGTCTCTCAGACTAAGGTGATTTAAATCACCTTCTATTCTGTGTCTTTAGTTAGGAAGGTAGATTCTTGTGATTTATTACCTGCTGCTATTGCTCACCCATTCTGGCCGTTTGTTCAGCCATTTGTCTGTTTCTTCAGTCGCTTGCCAGGGAATTTTGTTAGTTTCTTGCTAACCTGCGTCACTTTCACATAACATATTTACAGGTTCCAGAGATGAGGATAAGGATGTGGGCCTCTTTGAGGGTCATTATTCTGCCTACCTCAGGAATGGTTCTTTTGTCAAGACAGTTCCTGGTTCCATCAGGTTGAAAGTTAGGGTTGGGGAAAACTCTGAAATGAGGATCCAGAAGTCAGTTTGCCCATTTATCCCTTTGTCCATGTTAAAATGGATTTTCTGTGTCTGTAACCCTCAGGATAATGAGAAGGGCCAGCCTTCTTCCTTCTTTTCCTCCCTGTGCTTCTGCCAAGCAATGGAATCCAGTATATTAAGTCTCTACATTTCTAAGCCCTACAAGAGAGAAGCTCCGCTTCTAAGTGTCTCTCCCTGCTCCTGTCAAGTCTCTGTCTCTCTGTGTGTGTCTTTGTCCCTCCCTGTCCCCGTGTTCCTGCCTCCCACTGTGCCCTGAGCCTCTGTCTGGCCTTGTTTCTCATGTGACTTCTTCCCTAATCTGGTGTCTGGGATGCCCAGGGGAAGTGACTTTGTGGGTTTACTCTGTGGGTTTTTGCTTATGCAGCAGAACCTGCTTTTTCTGAACCTTATGATACTTTCAGATCATTTGATGATGACTCACTGCTGAGCTGGTGGAAATGACAAGGGCACTTGACCTTTCCTGGAGACTGGGTAGAAGGGCCCTTGGGAGGACCCGGATGGAGGAAGATGTGTTTGGCTTTCCTCCATTATGCAAACAAGATGCTTAGAGCCCTTGACTCTCTCTGGTTCAGAGTTGCCTGGAGCCTGGAATTACCCGCACCTACCCGGTCATCCACCCTGTTTCTCAGCGCCTCTCCTGGCTCCCTTGCCTATTCACAGCTGGGCTGAAGCTGAGCCCAGGCGCCTGGATTGGGCTGAGGGGTCCTGGAACAGGCTGGGCTCTCATTGGCCCCTCATCCTAGACCAGCCATGGCAAGCCCCCAGTGTTGGGGAGGTTGATGTCCCAGCAGGACCACTCCATTCTTTGTTGCTGCTCATCAGGACTCAGTCTAGGGTGTGGGACAGCCTTTGGGTTCAGGGGTTGTAATTGGATAAGGAGGTGGGAGAAGTAGGAGCCAGTTTGTTGGGACACCCTCCTTGGGGAGCTGTGGATGGTGACCACGGTGATGGCAGAGATTTGTTTTGCCCCTAATGGTCTGGGCCTGCCTGTTGAGAAGGAGGGGAGTTGAATCTGCCCCCAAGAGGTTCAGTGAACTGGGCTTGACTTCCTTCTCTTCTGCCTCTCTCCCCCAGGTTGGGGTGACTCAATAGGCACACCGTCAGAGTCGGGCATGACCTATGACGCACTCCATGTATTTGACTGGATCAAAGCAAGAAGTGGAGACAACCCTGTGTATATTTGGGGCCACTCCCTAGGCACTGGGTAAGAGTTCCAGCATGTGAACAACATAAACCGATGAACAAAAACAGATCCAGAGACAGAACAACATCGATCAGACCGTCAAACCTCAGAGGGAAGGTAGGGGAGGGCGGGGGTAAGGAGGAGAGATCAACCAAAGTACTTACATGCATGCCTATAAGCCTAACCAATGGACACAGACAACAGGGGGGTGAGGCCATGAGTGGGGTGGTGGTGGTGGGGCAATGGGGGAATAAGGACACATATGTAGTACCTTAATAAATAAATAAATTTAAAAAATTAAAAAAACAAAACAAAAAAGAGTTCCCAGCATGGTATGGACTTTTGGAGAGCAGGTCTTCATGGAGCGACCTTCCAGCCTGGGCTCCCCGAGGGTGCCCTGTGCCCTAGCACCATTAGTTCTAACAGGCCTTGTCTCTCGTCTACATGCCGGGCAGGGGATGCATGGCCACAGAGACCATAAAGGGTTGAACTACTTTAACTCCTCAACCCAAGAAGTGACTCGAGACACACATGGGCAGCTGTAGGGTGGTCTCCCCTCCTCAGGGAGGATGGGCAGATTTGGCCCGAGGTTGTGCCCCTGGGGAGACAGAGCAGAGCAGACCAGATGGGGTTCAAGTTCCAGATGTACCTGGGCTTTGCATCTCATGTTTTTTTTTGTCTTTGTTTTTTGTTTTTTTAAAAATATATTTTATTGATTTTTTTACAGAGAGGAAGGGAGAGGGATAGAGAGCTAAGAAACGTCGATGAGAGAGAAACATCGACCAGCTGCCTCTTGCACACTCCCTACCGGGGATGTGCCCGCAACCAATGTACATGCCCTTGACCGGAATCGAACCTGGGACCTTTGAGTCCGCAGACCGACACTCTACCACTGAGCCAAACCGGTTTCGGCAGCATCTCGTGGTTTTGGACTTTGTGTGCTGGCCAGCAAGCTCCGGTGCTGGGGCTCTGATCACTGCGCTGGGGCATTTGTACCAACTGGGCCACACAGGCCGTACTTGGTCTACCAGGGAACCTGGGGGAGGCAGCGGTGCCAAGACAGGAACACTTTAGTGTTCCATTTGGGGTCACCTAAATTGTTTTTGCAGATGTGAGGTCCAGAATGTTTCTGAAAGATCAGTGCCCAGAAGCCCAGGACTGTCAGCAGCCCTGTCTTTTCCTGCTGCCTTTCAGTCAGGTGCAGTGGCTGCGACACCTGTCCAGGTTGCTGCTTATCCTGATAGCACGCTCGCTGCCTTTGGACTGGGCTTACAGGCGGGGCATTGTGGGGGTCAGGGCCTCCTGGCTTCTTGTGGGGAAGATAGCCCTCAGAAATGTGTCCGGGAAGGGGAGGGGACCAGGCCATCTTGCCATGGTTGCCTGCAAAGGACATGGCTGGAAGGCAAGAGGCCCCCAGAGCCATGCGGTGGATACAGCCTGCTCTTAGCTGTCTCAGCAGCACCTGCTCCAGCCAGGTGTGAGCCGAGGGGCAGTGTTGTGCAGCCCGAGGAAGGCTGTTCCCGGTGAGGCTGCAGAACCCGCCGTGGGGACATGAAGGTGGCTGTCATCGCAGTCCTTGACAGAGTACTTGGCTGAGGCTGGGGCAGCCAGGCCCACCCACAGTCCTAGAGCATTTTTGTCTCCCCACCCCCTTCCCTATAATGCTACCAACCTCCTCGCAGATCCCACAGCTTCTCTGCTCACTTTCTAGTTTCATATAAAACAGTTTTTGTCAAAATTCAACTGAACAGTTTTGTTTTGTTTTCTTTTTTCAGAGTGGCAACGAATCTGGTGCGGCGCCTCTGTGAGCGAGGTAGGGGCTCACGTGGCATGAGTTCTGGTGTGTGGGCAGGACTCCTCCCGGTCCCGGCTCCCCCAGGGCAGGCAGAGTGCCTGGGCACTGGCTGTGTTCCAGGCCCTGCTGTGAGTCTTGGGAAGTGCCTGTGCTCCATGTCCCCTTGGAGCTGCTTGAGCTGGACATTGAGGCCAGAGCCTGGCAGACCCTCAGCTGCCCTAAGCCTGCATCCCCCCAGGGATTTCTGAGCAGCGGGTGCAGCCTCACCAGGAACCAGGCTCCAAATAAGCAGCTTTACCAGATGTGGTTCTCAGGAGCCACCCATGGCTGCCTGAGGGTTCCCTGTGTGGGTACTCTTTCATGCCAGTCATGTGGGAGGGCCTGAGGGTGCAGCTGGCCAGGTTGGCACCTAGCTTCCACTGTCTTTTCTGGGGGGGCTACCCTTCCCATGGACCCCCATGGGGCCATGGAGCTTGTGTTCTTGCCTATCTCCCACTTTCCTGTTTATTTTACCAATAATCCAGAGACGCCTCCAGATGCCCTTATATTGGAATCTCCATTCACTAATATCCGCGAAGAAGCCAAGAGCCATCCGTTCTCAGTGGCAAGTACAGATCTTATTTAAAATGGACTTATTTTCATTATTGAAGTAATTACTATGAAGTGACTGTAGTAAGTATAAAAACAATAATCATAAGTAAATATTTAAGTATTCTAATGAAGGCAGACTTATTAAGAATTAATCTTTGTTTAGTTCTGGGCATTGGCTTGGATCCAGAGCTGCCCAGGACGTTTATAACTTTGCAGCCAGTTAGGACGGGCTCACAGCTCAGTTGTCTGGAGTGGCAGGACCCTCAGGAAGCCTTGCCCCCGTGGCCTGGCTTGCACACCGGCAGTGTTCCCTGTGGGGCTCTGCCCAGGCTGAGTGCTGTTACTCCAGCTTTTCCTCAGGGGTGAGCTGGTGAGTGCCTTCCCTCCATCCGCACAGACAGTGCTGAGCAGCCAGGCTCCCACTGTTGAATTTTGGGGTGACGTGTGGCCTAGAGCAGTGGTTGGCATGCCCTTGACCAGAATCGAACCTGGGACCTTTCAGTCAACAGAGCCAAATATCAACAGTACAGCAAATTGAAATTTCTTTTGAGCGCCAAATTTTTTAAACTTAAACTTCTTCTAACGCCACTTCTTCAAAATAAACTCGCCCAGGCCATGGAAGAGCCACACTCAAGGGGCCAAAGAGTCACATGTGACTCGAGAGCCACAGTTTGCCAACCATGGGCCTAGAGGGACTTCCTCTGTGGCCTTTCCGTTTCCATCCCACTGCTTCCTGACTGGCTGTGTTTTCTGTGTCAGCCTACCATCTGACCTCACTCTGCTCCATTGCTGACCACGATTCCTCTTTAGTCGTATTTCTTTGATGTTGCTTTTCTCCCAAGTTGTATGGACTCCCATTTTCTTTTCTTTAAATATTTTTTAAATGATTTTTTACAGAGAGGAAGAGAGAGGGATAGAGAGTTAGAAACATCGATGAAAAAGAATCATTGATCAGCTGCCTCTTGCACACCTCCTACTGGGGATGTGCCCGCAACCAAGGTACATGCCCTTGACCAGAATCGAACCTGGGACCTTTCAGTCCGCAGGCCGACGCTCTATCCACTGAGCCAAACCGGTTTCGGCCCCCATTTTTCTTGAGGTGGTAGCCCTGATGCCTGTGGGATGTCTGGTCTCTAGGCTGCTGCTCTGAGACCTGCTTGCAACCAGCTTTTGCTTAAGCAAGTCGGGGGTCCTTTTAAGCAGGGTGTCTGTGGTCAGGGCACAGAGGGGCACAGGTACCCCAGAGAGCCATAGTACCATAGTAGACCTGCAGGTCAGTATACTTAGGAAGCAGGGATGTTCCCTGGGTACTCAGCGCCCATTGTCTGAACCCTTGACCTCGGCTTTCCATGTGGGTATGTTATTTGATTGATTAGTTGATTGATTGCTTTTAGAGAGAGGAAGATGGGGGGAGAAAGAGAAATACCGATCAGTTACTTCCCCATGCTCCCCGATCAGGGATTGAATCAGCAACCTGTGTATGTTCCCTGACCGGCAATCGAACCCATTACATTTTGGACGACACTCCATTCAGCTGAACCACACTGGCTGTTTAACTGACTCTTCTGCACATTGTCTCCATGTCTTCTTCAGGTATATCGATTCTTCCCTGGGTTTGACTGGTTCTTCCTCGATCCCATTACAAACAGTGGAATTAAATTTGCAAATGATGAAAAGTGAGTACTATATAGAGCACCTAATTCTTCACTTAGAAAAACACTGCGAACCTCCAGGATAAACCTGCTCAGTCACATTAACCAAATAGGATGGAATTCTGAAGCCTTTGGTTCTTCTCTAACCTCTCCTTATAGAAGGAATGCAGGTAGAGAGCTGCCTGAGAGAAAAAGGAGTCTGGGAAGACTGCAGGATTAAAGCTGTGTGACAGCAGAGTCCGTGTGGTTTGTATGTGAGAATAGTTTGGCAAAACCAAATCCTGAATAGGTGTTAAAGCAGTAACTATTATTCAAAAACTGACTTTTTTCAGCCCTTTAATTGATGTTGGCTATGACTTCTATTATGTAAATCAAAAGTAAATATTCTACTTAAGGGCTCATTCTCTGAACAGTGTTCATATTCTGTTAGCATTGTCTTTTTTATATCTTCATTTCATCTCTTAATTTTTTTAAAAAAAGGAAAAAAATGCTTATCTAAATATTCAGTTAATATCTAAAAATCTACATTTTGAAACAAAATGTTGAAAAATAGCATATTCTCCCCTCAGAACTAAAACTTGAGCAAAAATTATAAGCAAAATACCTGTTTGTAAATACGGTTGTTTTCTAGAACTTAAGAAAGAATTATCTGAACAAACTGGACTTTCTCTAAACAACAGCAATGAGCGCTGTTCTCCTGGGCAAGCCGCCTTGGGCCCTGCCCCCAGCTGAGTGGTGACAGTTGTGGGGTCCAGCAAGCACTTCACCCCCACAGGGCCCAGCCCTCACCCACTGAAATTCAGGAGCCCCTCTTGGTGGGCAGGTCTGTTGCCAATTACTTGCCTCTTTCAGAGCAGGTAACAGTAAGGAAAATGCCCACAGTAGAAAATCTAAGAAAATGGATAGTTCAGATTTTGATTCGCTCCACCCTGGCAGCGGAATGCGGTCAGAGTGGGATGGGATGGGCATTTCTGGGATGACGAGCCCCCGTCCCAGTTCTGCCAGGTGCCAGGCTTGCCCCCCAGCACTGCCCTCCTGCAGCCCCCAGGCAGTGATCAGTATGGAATCTCTAAGACCAGGGGGGTGCCATGTCCACCCGCGCACCATGAGGCCTCTGGGAGGCAGCCAAGAGACACTCGGCCATTATGTGGTTTGCTAAAGGGGTTGAAGTAAATGAACCTATTGGAAATGTTAATTTACTTATAAACATTCAAGAGTGACCTTATGTGTTTTATGCCAAAGATAAATTAGAGGATATAGACACTTACCAACAGATGCCTAGTAACATTCATTTGTAGTAAGTTTCTTGGCCCTCCTAAGATATTCAGTTTGTAAATACTGTTCTGAACTTAAAAGTATTCTAACTTTAAAATCATGTTCAATTTTCAGAAACTATGCAGAGGCCAGATTTGGTGAATAAATTGATCTCTAGGTTTGACGGATACCTAGAATAAGTGCTGATAGAAATATCTCAGAAATCAGCTTTTTCTCTAGTAAAAAGAAGCCCAGCAGAATTAGAGCTGTTAAACAGCATGGTGAAATACTCCCTAAACCCAGGTCCCTGCCAAGGGTGGGCCAGGGTGCCGGGAGACCCAGCCGTCTCCCTGAGATCTTGATCTGGTCCGTCCTCCCCCTCCACAGCGTGAAGCACATCTCCTGCTCTCTGCTCATCCTGCACGCCGAGGACGACCCGGTCGTGCCCTTCCATCTTGGCAGGAAGGTGGGTGTCCGTGAGCCCCTGGGCGGGAGACACCTATCAGGCACACGTTTGGGCTGGACTGGGCACCTGCCTGGCAGATGACAGGAGGGGCCTGCTGCTGGCAGGGTGGGGATCGGGCTAGAGAGCCATGCCGTCCACAAGAGGAAGCATAAAAAATAAGTAAATGTTTCCTTGGTCCCAGTACAGGGACCTGGCCTGACAGAGACTTGACTACAGAGGACCCAGCAGGAGGGCTCGCTATTTTTTTGGCCGGAGGATAGGACCCCTTGATGACAAGATCCTCCAGCCCCGACTCAGGAGTCCCAGTCAGTAGTGTTGACATAGACTCTCTCACATTTGCTCTCCTGCCTTTGGGACTGGAGCAGTGCTGGAGGAGAGTCATGTAGTCACAGGGCCTCCGCATTTACTTTCGCTGAGTTTGCTTTGCCTTTGCTGCCACGATGCAGGGTTAGATTTGTAGGTGAGCGTGTGAGGCAGGAGACAGCATTGCCTGGCCAAGGTGAGAGAGAGGGGCAGGGGCAGCCTAGAGGGGGGGTGATGCCTGGGCTACTTCCCCTCACAACAGGCCCGAGGTACAGGCGAGTCTGGGCTCTCAGCCTGGCTGTCCTGGAGGAGGAGGGAGGGGCTGAGCGAGCTTGTTGAATGGCCTTGACCAGGCGCATAGCAAAGTCTGAGGTACCTGACCCACCATTTCAGCTCCCCAGGCTGAGGCCTCAGGGCTGCTCCCCCTCTTACACCATCACATCACCCATGGCACATGGTGCGGGCTCATTCGCCTCACCTCAGGAAGGGGCAGTCTGAGAAGCAGGTGTGGGGACTGGGAGGTTCTTAAATCGCAGGCCGAGGGGCTGCGCCTGGGCTGGGCTCATGCCAGCACTCTGGCCTTGGCCATGGCAGGCTCCTGGGCTGTTTGAGGGGCCATGGGTGCCTCTACAGGCCTCTGTTGAAGAGGCGGCCATCAGGCAGGTCACTACAGGACCGCCATCTCTGGGCACTGACCTGCTTCTCCCTCCTCAGCTCTACAACATCGCTGCCCTATCGCGAAGCTTCCGGGACTTCAAAGTTCAGTTTATGCCCTTTCACTCAGACCTCGGCTACAGGCACAAGTACATCTACAAGAGCCCTGAGCTTCCTCGGATACTGAGGTGAGAGACTCTTCTCCTTAGGGATGTCGTCCTGGGTGGCGCCAGCGTGGGCCAGACGTATAGCAGCAGCTCATCCACTAACGCTGCCTCAGCGAGAGGATTCTCGAGCCTTTTCTGTCCTCGGAGAGGAGCTGAGTGTTTATCGCTCCTCCCTCCTGGACTGTTCCTGTGATCTCCCAGGTACAGGTTGTGCAGGCCCACACAGGGGTGTGTCTAGCACAAGCCATATCATGTTCAGGTTGTAATTTCCCCCATCATTACAGAAAAGTTAGACCAGAGTATAGCTCTGAAGTTTAAGAAGTGCTCATGAGCTGGCCTTTCTTCCTGCCTGTCACTGACTGTGATGCCATTGGTGCCCTGCCTGTTGCTCTCCAGGCTCCTGCTCTTTAGATGAGCTATGAGGACAGGAAGAGGCGGGATCTTGGGTTTGGCTGACCGTTGTACTCTGACTTAGGGAATTCCTCGGGAAGTCGGAACCTGAGCTCCAGCACTGAGCTCACTGCCTGAAGGAGCATGAAGACCTCTGCCCTTCTCCCCATTCCTCTGACCAACCCAACACCCCGGAGACCGGGTGCAAGTGTCTGCGGTGCGCCTGGAGAGAGGCCTTGGATGCCAGCGAGGGCAGGCGGAAGAGGCTCTGGCAGACCGGTGGCCAGAAGCATGGATTTTTGTGGAAAATGTGAGTGGCAGACATGTGGCCCTCTCTCCTTGCTGCCACGCAACCTGAGCTCTTGCAAAGGGTAACACAGCAGGCCAGCCTCCAGGCAATCAGTCCCACACTTCTGAGCTGGGTATGGAGAACAGGGCAGGAGGTCTGAGGTCTTGGGACCACACTGAGCTTTCCAGCACCACCCACGAGAATGTGGGAGACTTGGGCCCTGTCTTCCCAGCACATGCAGAATGGACTCTAATAGTTCCATCATCCCTCTGCCCTATGGACCCCGCTTGCCTTCTTTGATGTCCCTGCCTCCCTAGGCAGGTCCCATCACTCACAGAGGTGCCTGTGATCTGCATTTCCTCCTTTCTACCCACCTAACCTGGCCCTAGACTGAGCATTTATTTAATAAAATCCGGTGGTGGTCTGTCTGTTGTCTTTTCAGTTCCATCTCTAGCCCCGCTCAGAACCTGTCCCCACCCCAAGTCACTCACAGAGCCTGGCCACATGGGTGGAGGGGAGCCTTCCAGGGAGTGGCCTTCTCCAGATGTGGCGGATGGTATTTTCCTAAAATATAGGCCTACATAAGTGACCCTTTCAACCTGATGCTTATTGGACATGGCCATGTCAGAGGATGGGCATTGGGGTCTCACCATGGTCCCCTATTGACAGAGCTGGAGTGCAGGAACTTATGTGGCCTATGACCGTTGCCACCTTCACTCGCCTGGTGGTGGTTCTTGGCTCGTTTGGCTTTTTGTCAAACCAGCTTCTCCTCTCCCCTGGCACTGGTGCCCTCTCAGGGAACTGATTTAATAAGAATGTGGCCTTGAGCTGCCCCCTCAAGGTGTATCCCAGCTCAGTGTAGGGAAGCCACCTGGGACACAGCCTCTCCTGAGGGCTGGCCTTCCTCCCCTTGGTCCTGAGGCTCTGGAACAGCAGTCCCAGCAGCTCGGAAAATTCTCACCTGCCTGCCTGTCCTGCAAGGCATCGTGGCCAGTGTTAGCATCTGCTGATGCTGGGGACCCTCCCAGAACTGCGTCCCCCCTCCCCGCCTTCTGTGTAACTGCTCTGCGTCAGAGGCTCCGAGAACCACTGACCACCAGAGGCCAGAGCAGGCTACACCCCTTTCCGGGGCACTTTAGAACTGCCGATGGCGCTTCCACATCTGGGAAATGCACACTTTCCTCAAACTGGGATTGAAACGTAAAGACACTTGTCCTGAAGTTGATGTATTTTCCAGGTGTGAGCACTGCCCACAAGCACCATTGTCCGAGGCTGGGCCCGGCCCGATAGCATCTTTCTGTGTAACTGCTCTGCGTCAGAGGCTCTGAGAACCACTGACCACCACGTCCCTGGACTGGACAGCCCTTTCATGAGGCTGGAGTGCTCTTTGGCTGTGTCCCTGACACGCAAAGCCACGTTCTCGGCCAAGGAAGTGGGTGTGATCTGCTCATATTATCTCAGACCTGCCTGTTCTGCCTGGGTCCTTCGTGGGATTTTTGTTTGTTGGTTTTACTTTTTGTCTATGTGAAAGGCCTCAGATCCTTTTCTAGGGGGAATGAGATAGGATATAAAGTAAAAATACAAGCTGTGTTTTTATAGGTTCCTGACAGGCCAACTGAAGATGAGGAAGCACAGAAAAAGGAGCGTTGAGTGGACAGCCACTGGCCATTACCTCAGTCAGGTCCAAAGGACCCTACTTGATGGCTTCTTAGCTTATGACCTGGGTCCAAGACACTAAGCTTAAACTGTGGGTAAGCATTGACCCTGGGTTACAAAATCAATGCATGGTCAGGACCAACGCTTTATAAAGAAGAAGAGATGTCGGTATGCATAGCTATCAACTGCAGTTACACACTGTCCTGGGAGCCACAGGACAAGGATGGGAGCATGCGTTCCCAGGGCACATCCCCACCTCCAGGAGAGGCTCCTTGTCACTGCCCCCAGCAAGTTCACCATGCTCCAGGGTCCCATACTTCTCAGGGTCTTTGGGTAACCCTGAGCCCCAAGTTTACACCACGCCTGGTTTTTTATTCACCTTGCAGCTACAGTTTTGGAGAAAATATTTTTGGCCGTTCTGCCTGCCAGGATGGGCGGCAGAGGACAGGTGCAAAAGAAGCCAATACATTTCCGCACAAAAAGCCCGTGCCCGGAGGACAGTTTGCCAAGTGACTAGATTTCATGGTTCCTGGAAGAGCTGGCAGTTTAGGCATACCCAGCTCCAAGTCTCATCAGCTGGGATGAGAGAACTTCAATCCCAGGACAACGGCCGTAACTGAGCCCATCTCCTCTTTAGGAGGGAGGACTGAAGCCTGCCCCAAGCTGACCCCGAGTGAAATGCTGAGGCCAGGCCAGCCAAGTGTGGGCAGGAAGTTTTAATCAGTTTCTCATACGAGGCAATAACAGCGAGTGGCACAGTGATGGTCGCATACAGCCTAAGGGACAGGGCAGTGGAGGGTGTTGGGGGTATGGCCACAGGCCCCAGTGGCTCTGATGAAGTGTGGACTTGAGCAGGTCCTCCATGGCCTGGTTCTCAGAGCAGTCAGGATCCAGGATGAGGGCAGAGCCTGTGATGCCAGGCCCAGCATGCAAGGAGGCAGAGCCTGGGGAAGGGTGCTTCCATCGAAAGTTGCCAACAACCCGCGGTGAAGGGCACCACCTGCTCTTTCTGGCTTTCTCTGGGCGGCTGAGGTGCTCACCTGCCCTTCCTGGCACCAGCCTGCTATCTGGGCAGAGTGGAAAGTGGGCTGCCCTCTGGGCCCACTTGGTCCTTTTCCAGGCCAGTGGCTCTGGTGGAAAGGGCAGGCAGAAGTGATTCAGCCTCCCTCAGCGGGGCAGCAACCCTGCCCCAGGCCCCACAGCCTGCAGAAACATCCCAGAATGGCCTTCCCTGACATGAAATTTCAAAAGTGCAATTTATAGTTGCTACCAAGAAAAGGCTTCAGCTCTTTCATTTCCTTGTGAATGTAAAAAAAAAAAAAAAAAAAAAAAAATTCTTAAAAAAAAAAAAAAGCAGAACCAAGCTAGCTTTGCACCAGCCAGCCTTATCCTAATCGAGGCCCCCTAGATGCTGGACACAGGTGTCCTCCCCAGTGTCACCCATAGTCATGCTGAGGCCCCTTTAGCTGACCAGTCTGGAAGCCTTGGGCCGAGCACCCACAGGGCCGCTGTAAAGATGGTTGGAGCACTGGCCCTCCCCGCCTGAGCACAGCTGGTTCGGCGCTGTTAGCCAGCCCAGGTCCTGCAGAAACACTTCTCCGGGTTTCACCACTGCTGCTTGCCAGACCCCAGAATCTAGAGGCTCCAAACTTAAAACAAGCTTACAGCAAGGTGTGGAAGGTCTCGGAGGAGCCCACTAGGTGGCTTCACCCATGTCTGGGGTGGAATGGCCAAGGGGGCAGATGGGCTGAACTGTGGGGCCAACTGGGCAGTGCTATGAACTCAGGTAGCATCTCACTTCAGCACCTTTCCTTCCCTGTCTATCCACTCCCCCAACCCCCATTCCAAGCCGCCACCATGATCCCCAAGCCCTTCCCTGAAACACAGCACTGAAAAAAACAGCTTGGAAAATGGCATGAGGCGCGGAGTCAACACAGAAAACAAAATCCCCTGGTCCCCACTGTGCCAGCTCCTAGTCCTTGGGGATGTTGGGGGTCGGGATCTGTAGGTCCGAGGGCTCCACACCCCAGATCTCCCGGGCGTACTCCGTGATGGTCCGGTCACTGGAGAACTTGCCCGAGCAGGCGATGTTCCTGATGACCTTCTTGGTCCACTCCTTGGGGTTCTGCAGAGAGAAGGATGTTTCCAGGTGAGTCTTGGCTCACTGGGCGGTGTGATAGAAGAGGAGAAAATGGCCATCATAGCTCACTGGAGAGGTGAGCTACCAAATGACCAGCTAAAAGGGGCCAGGAGCTCTGCATCCCACTGGGGCACAGCCCACACAACAAAAACAAGCACTACCCAGTGAGTACTTGCTACCAGGCGGACCCAGTTGCCCAGGGAGATGGCCAGGTGGTCTGGCCAGAGCCCGCATCTGCCCCAGACTGCAGCCACCCTGGAGGGCCTCTGGGAAAGGGCCACTCCTTGAGGCCCAGTTTAAGGGAAGCGAAGGTTCCTCCCACAGCCCTGCCATCACCATATCCCAGGCCCCGCCTGTCCTTTTGCAGAGGGCACATTGGGAGTTGTTGGGCAGACAGCAGTTTCCAAATGCAGGGGGCAGAGACTGGCAACAAATCAGAAGTACAAGTCCGAGGCCTCATCCAAGAACCTGCTAACAACTTCGGGAACTAAACTAACTGAACCAAAATTCTGCAGTCCCCTCCCACTGCCATCCTCAGAGGGGTGCACATGTGGGACACCCACAAAATCCCAGAGAAGGGAGGGAACAGGCACCTAGGCACATCCTCCTTCACTCCCCCAGCTTGGGGCCTGGGACTTCCCACCAGATCCCGCGTGGACTCCTTTACGGGCCACACCAGGCCCATGGGGGGCCAGGCGCGGTTCGCACAGAAACCTGGGATGCGGTCCTCTCCTTCATCACGTGGGAAGCTGGCAACATCCCTGCCTCAGAAACTGCTCCTCACAGCCATACGTTCCTCGCTCTATTGATGGAAGCTTTTACCTTTCCAAGCAAGTGTTCACACTCTCATCTTAGACATGCTTTCTGTGTGCACTGTCGCCCAGACCCGTCCTCTTGAGCTGATCACCCACTCCCCATGCCCCGATCACACCCACGTGGGACGCATCAGACTAGGGAACAACCCCTCTCCACCCCCTCTGTACGGGAAACATGCCAGGTGGATGGCAGCCTGACCCCAAGGAGCCAAAAGGCTCCAGCGTGGCAGGTAAGAGCAGAGGATGGCTAAGACGCCCTGAGTGGGAGGTGAGAAAGAAGCAGCGGGTGCCTGCTCTGGGCCACAAGCTGAACTGCGACCTCCTAGGAGCATCCTAGACAGCAGGATGCAGATGCACCCTGAGGCTCCCCCACCTGTGCCGCCCCTACCAACTCAGTCTGAGAACCTTACCTGGTACAGCTGGTCCACCTGGGCCTGGCAAGCCACATATGCTTCATAATCCGCAAACACCTTGAACCTGAGACAGGAAACGGGAGATCAGAAACCAGCCACCAGGCCACGGCCGTCTGTGCCTCACGCTCTGGAGCCCACCTGGCTGTAGGGGCCGCTCTGAGCAGCACTGCTGTCCTGGGGACACTACTGAAGAACATGACTGTAACCCAATGTTGCTTTAAAGAAGTTGGTGTTTATAATGCACGTAGGTTGAAGCTGCACACCTGAGGTTTCTTCCCTTTCACCGCCCGGCGGGAAGGGCACAGGATGGAGGGAGATGGGCTCTACATAGCGGTCAGTTCTCAGGTCTAACTGAGCCAGGAACAGGTGATACAGGACCCAAAAATGCAGGACTTGTGAATACAGAAAAGCATTTTTGTTTATAATTGTGTCAGAAACAGAACCGTTAAAAGTCCTTACTCGACCAAAGCCCGTGTGATTATGATCTGGTCTGGCTGAAGCCAGCTGACAGCAGTCATTAAAATGGAACAACTAACCTCAAAACAACCAAAAGTGGAACAGGTAGTAATTCTCAGCATTCGCCAGACTCAACTTCTAGCAATAGGTTGGAGCAAAGAACTGTCATGATGGCAAATGGTACTGCCAACCTGTTCCAGGTTACCCGGAGCTGAGTTAACTGTGTCAATTGCATTGTAATAAAATGCTAATTACACTGCAATTTATGTCACAGGTTAATTACACTTGAATTCTTTTGTGTCACCGTGGGCCCATGTTGCAGCCTTAGACCCAGACACCTGAGAGGAGTCCCGCCCACACATCCCCTCCCCTCACTGTCTGTCACATCTAGATGGCCAGCTGGTGCTGGGGCCTGGGCTGGACGGTGCAGCTGGCAGTTCCCACCACCAGGGCGCTCACAGCACACCAAGTGTGGCCCTGGGGTAGGGAACTTCTCAAGGTGAGGGCCCGAGGCTCTGCCCATGGCCACAGTCGGGAGGGGCGAGGGGGTATAAGCAATGCCATTTTCAGCCCCCCATGGGGACCCAGCTGTCTGACCTTCAGTGGGGAGGAACGTAAGGACCAGGGGAGGCGGACCCACCTGTCGTGGTACAGCAGCATGCCGACGATGTCCTTGAAGCAGCCTGGCTCCTTCGGGGAGAAGAAGCCATCCCTGATCTGATCCACGGCCTGCCTCAGCTCGGGCAGCCGGTCGTAGTACTCTTGGGCATTGTACCTGTGAGGAGGCGGGTGGAGTCGGCTGCCAGCCAGTGTCTGCAGGCAATGGGCACACCCCTCCCCAACCTAGCACTGAGGCAGAGTCCGAGGGCTACTGGGCCCTGGAGAGAGGGTGATGTGCTGTGAGTGCACACTCAATCCCACCTGCTCCAGTTACTGTTTACAGAACCACGGTCTCTGAGGGTGTGCAATGGTGCTCATGGCTCCATCATATTCCCCCAGGAGAGGGCTCCTAAAACCTGTAACTCTGTATCCCTACCTCCTATTCCCACCCTGCAGGCCATCACGAAGTCAGAACAGATGGGTAATCCTGATACTCGGAATGCGGAGTGTTGAAAAGGGCATGTAAGGTGTATACTCTCAGGCTGACAAGGACCAAGTTCTGACTTTTTAGGTGACATTTGAGTTTTTACCTGGCTGGTGCCTGAGGCCTCACCAACTCCCCAGGGAACTTTTAGGCAATTAGGCAACATTGTCTTTTCTTGGTCATTATTGCTCAGAATTAGGCTGGGCCAGGACTCCTAGAGCATCCAAGCTCATGGAAAACAAGGCAAGACTGAGAAACTGTCACAGATGGGAGGAATGTTCTGGATGGATCCTGGGATATTAAAGGACAAGCCATTCATGGGGAAATGGTGAGATAAAGGATGGACTTCAAAAAAGAACATCATGCCGAAACTGGTTTGGCTCAGTGGTAGTGTCGAACCTGCGGACTGAAAGGTCCCAGGTTCGATTCCGGTCAAGGGCATGTACCTTGGTTGCGGGCACATCCCCAGTAGGGGGTGTGCAGGAGGCAGCTGGTTAATGTTTCTCTCTCATTGACGTTTCTAGCTCTCTATCTCTCTCCCTTCCTCTCTGTAAAAAATCAATAAAATACATTAAAAAAAAAAAAAAAAAAAAAAGAACATCATGCCGAAACCGGTTTGGCTCAGTGGATACAGCATCACTCTGCAGACTGAAGGGTCCCAGGTTCGATTCTGGTCAAGGGCATGTACCTTGGTTGCGGGCACATCCCCAGTAGGGGTGTGCAAGAGGCAGCTGATTGATGTTTCTCATTGATGTTCCTAGCTTTATATCCCTCACTCTTCCTCTCTATAACAACTCAATAAAATATATTTTTTTTTAAAAAGAATTCCTTCTAAAAAAAAAAAAAAATCATGCCATTATTGGTTAATTTTGACAATGTTCCACACTCATTAACGACATACAAACAATAGGTAAAAGTGGAAGTATATATGGCACGCTGAACAGTCCTTGCAGCTTTTCTGAAACTAAAACCATTCCTAGGCAACTGGGTTATTTTACAAAGTTAGGCCAGGCAACCTCAGCAGTGGGCCAGCCTCAAATCAAATCACAAATTGGTCAAGAGTATTCAGCCCGGAGCAGTGGCTGCCAGGCTGGGAGCGGCCAGGCCCGGGGGAGCAGGCGGGTCGGGTGCGGCCAGGCCCGGAGCAGCGGCTGCCAGGCTGGGAGCGGCCAGGCCCGGGGGAGCAGGCGGGTCGGGTGCGGCCAGGCCCGGAGCAGTGGCTGCCAGGCTGGGAGCGGCCAGGCCCGGGGGAGCAGGCGGGTCGGGTGCGGCCAGGCCCGGAGCAGTGGCTGCCAGGCTGGGAGCGGCCAGGCCCGGGGGAGCAGCCGGGTCGGGTGCGGCCAGGCCCGGAGCAGCGGCTGCCAGGCTGGGAGCGGCCAGGCCCGGGGGAGCAGCCGGGTCGGGTGCGGCCAGGCCCGGAGCAGCAGCTGCCAGGCTGGGAGCGGCCAGGCCCGGAGCAGCAGCAGCCAAGTCCAGAGCAACTAGGTCGGGAGCGGCAGTGACCAGACCCGGAGCAGCTGGTTGTGGAACGAACCAGAGCAACAGAGGCCAGGCCCAGAGCAGCCAGGCCCAGAACAGCTCGCTCCTCGCCTGCCCCTGCTCCACGGCTGCCTCTCAGACATGGCTGGAAACTTTCGTGGGAACTTGAGGGTCTGCTGAATCAAGTGATGAAGGCTTAGATCTGGATGTGTTGAGTTAGTATAGGGCTGGGGTGTTGATCTGTGAGTGCCTTGGGTGGGGCCTGGATGAGGCTGGTGGACCTATTGGGAAATGGCTTTTGTGTGAAGTGTATCATTGGGCATGTGGAGGTATTATTGATATGAGAAAATGCTAAGTAACTGATTTACTATCTGAAAAGGGATTTACTATTGGGGAAAGGAAGGGAAGAAGAGACTGAACATAAACTGCACCTATGGATGAGGACAATGGGGGATGGGGAGGGGGCAGAGGGTGGGGTGGGAACCTGGTGGAGGGGGGAAGAAATGAGGAACCTTTGTAATAATATGAACAATAAAGATTGATTAAAAAATAAATAAATAAATAAATAAAATTAAAAAAAAAAAAAGAGTATTCAGAGCCCTGTCCCCGAGGGCTGCTCCTACAGATTCCAGAGCCTTCTACCCTTTGGAAACACTTGGTCTGGCCTTGGCCGGTTTGGCTCAGTGGACAGAGCGTCAGCCCGAGGACTGAAGGTCCCGGGTTTGATTCCAGTCAAGGGCAAGTACCAGCTGCAGCTTTGTCCTTGGCCAGGGTGCCTGGAGGATGCAGCCAATCAATATGTCTCACATTGATGTTTCCCTTTCTCTCTCTCTCTCCCCCCATCCTTAACACTGAGTCTGGTTCCCTCTGACTGAGCTGTGGAGAAGCACAGAGCAGCCAGTTCCTGCCCAGGCTGGATGTGCGCAGACAAGGCCAGAGTCCCCACAGCCACTCCCCACCCCTGGGTGGGATGCACCCTGACAGCAGAGGTCTGGCCTGAGCCCCTCCACAGCCCTCCTTGGGCATGGAGAGGGACACCCTTGATGGCATGGAGAGGGGCACACACCCTTTCTGGTCCAGGGCCTGGACGTCTTCCACCCGAAGGCCAAAGATGAAGAGGTTCTCGGCCCCGGCTTCCTCGGCCATCTCCACGTTGGCACCGTCCATGGTGCCGATGGTGAGGGCCCCGTTGAGCATGAACTTCATGTTGCCTGTACCTGAGGCCTCAGTGCCCGCAGTGGAGATCTGCTGGGACAGGTCAGCAGCGGGGATCACTGCAAGGGGGTAGCACACGAAGGCAAGTCAGCCACCAACTACTCAGCATGAACCACGGATCTGCAAGAAACACCCTTCTCTCTCATCCTGACCCCGAGGCTGGCGCTCACGCCAGAACGAGCCAGAGCCCTTAGGCACCCCTGCGAGTGGCCAAGGCCGGGCACTGCCCACCCTCCCTGTAAGGGCTCCTTTCTTGATCCAGGCAGCCTGAGGCAGAGGGTCCAAGAGGAGACCCTTGAGAAAAACACTGCAGGTGGCAAAGGACCTTTGTTCTGAAACCTTCCGGGGATAGAACCCAAACAAAGCCTGGTGGGGTCACTCCCTTTCACCCCAATACCCCTTTTGTCTTATTAAAAAGTCTGTCTCATTAGATCACGTCAAGAGGAACCTGGACTCCTCAGGAACCAGAAGCCTAGAAACTGTGGAGCGGGGGAGGGGAGGCATTCCTCCCCCTCAGTTCCTCTTGCTGCGCACAGAGGGCCCTGCGGCTTCTCCCAGGAGTGGGTTCCCGGCGCCGCCTCTGTCCCACCCGCCTTGGCAGCCCTGTTCCCACATCCTCAGCTCATGTGGAGCTGATACGTCCCTAACCCACCGGCAGGCACTCAAGGCCAGCAAGTCCAGAGCCCAGCCCTCTTCAAGGTCGAGCCAGGCGTCAGTATAGAGAGACACGGGTATCTGGACCCCATGTAGGCCCGCCCCACAGGCAGATGACACAGCAGATATAATAGTAGATACACTGCACAGCAAGTCTAAGAGCTGGAGGAGAATGTAGGGGCCCTGACCCCAGGTCTGAGGCCCCAGACTGGGCATCTCCCGAGGTCTGTTCTAAAGAAGCACAGGAGCCGGCCCAGTGGGGGGCGGGACAGAGTTTCAGGCAGCAAACAGCCGTTAAAACACGTTAGAAGCGTTAAGCGGCAAGCTGAACACACGAGGTCCACGGCAGTGGAACCACAGGGATGGTGCTGATGAAAGGCCGAGCTGGCAGGAGGAGGGAAGCAGCACCCGGTCTAAACCATGCACGTGTCTGTTACTTGGCACCAGAATCCAGGCTCAGCTTTGCACCATCTGGTTGGGCAGATGCTGTCCTGCCGGAGCCTCCAGCAGCAGCCAATCTGGGAAGGCCCGACAGATGAGGACAGCCGTGCTCCAAGGCACACTGGGCTGCAGGCCCTCCCTCAGAACCTTCTCCAGATGGCAGCCCTCATCCAAGCAGTCTTCCCAGGGCGCCCTAAAGTGGAGCCACCCCAGACCGAACTCTCAATAGAACAGACTGTCACCACGCTGCCTCAGAAAGGACAGAAGAGGAAGGACTGGCCCAAATGAGCAGCAGGCCATGCTCTTGAGAGTGAACAGGGGGTGATGAGCAGAAGCATCCCCGGAGGTGGGGGAGGGAAAGAAGAGCCAAATGGAAACCCATCCTGCCAGCAAGAGCGAGCCCAGCCCTAGCTGGTTTGGCTCAGTAGATAGAGCATCAGTCTGTGAAATGAAGGGTCCCGGGTTCTATTCCAGTTAAGGGCACATGCTGGGGATATAGGCTTGATCCCCTGTAAGGGGAGATGGGGTAGGAGGCAGCCAGTTAATGATTATCTGTCATCAATGATGTTTCTCTCTCTCTCTCTTTCTCTCTCTCTCTCTCTCTTTCCCTCTGTGAAATCAATAAAAATTTAAAAAGCAAATATTATTTTTTTTTAAAAAGCAAGCCCAGCAGCAGCAAGGCAACACGGAGGGCCCAGAAGAGAGGAAGGGGAGGGACAATGAGATCAGGGCAGGAACGAGAAAGGACAGAACAAAGAGCACCCAAGACTGAGAGCAATTCCGCACTGAGGAGGGACAGAGAGCTCCCCAAAGCCTTTCAATACCAGACTGAAGGCCCACGTTAACCCGACCATCAACCACCACCCACGTCGCGCCCGGCAGGGGCAGGCTTTCCGGCCTGACACGGCCTCCCCGGGTACCTTTTTCGGCCAAGGACACTCGGTAGTTCTCTAGGAAGATCACTTTGAGCCGGTTGCCCACAATTGGATCGTGGTTGACAACATCACCGATGGACGTGACCAGCTTGATGATCTTCTTGGCCAAGTGGTAACCAGGAGCCGCCTGGGAGGAGGAGGGTTCCGCGTGAGCCCGCCTGGGCTTGGGGCCAGCACTACTGCTGCTCACTGCAGCCTGGGGCTGGCCACGCCGAGGCCGTGTCTGGCTGCGCCGCCCGTGGTGTCCAGGTGGGTGGCTCTCGGAGGGGCCGCGGCCACGGCAACCCTGCGTGTCCTCCACTCACTCTGGCGGCAGACTCTGACGGAAGAAGCTGCGACCCTCCCGGGCATCCGCCCCCTGCCCTCCCTCAGTTCTGCCAGAGCACATCTCCGACGGCCACGTCACCCCGTGCACATCTGTCAGCCTCAAGCTTGTTTTCAAAAATTAGGAGATAAAAGAAAACTGACTACCACCGTAGAGGAAATTCGGGAGCTAAAGGACACGCTGAAACCTACCAGAGGAGCAATCAGAGCCAGCAGGCCAGGGAAGACAGACCCCCTTCCTGTAACAAAAATAACTGCGGGGGGGGAAAGAGAAAGAGATGGAGGCAATCTCTGATGATGGGGGGCAGCTGTGCTAGGCACTGGCCGGGGTCCTGATTCAAACCAACTGCTCAAGGTGTCTGCCACTTGAATGCCGCGGTGACAATGGGCTTGTGTGGTGTGTCCAGGAGTCTGTCTGCGCTTGGTTTGGGGGAGACATCACTGTGAGGGTGAGTGAAGGGCTGAGGGGTGAAGGGCTCCAGTGTCTGGGTTTACCCTGAAACGGTTCAGCAGAAGTCCAGCTATGAATGTCCGACAGTTCTTTCAACTTTTCTCTAGGCTTGACATTTTTTATACTGAAATTCTGACAAATGAAATGTCATAATGTCTAGCATATGCTTCTGAAATAGCAGAAGTTGGGGGTGGGGAGTGGGCAGAGACCAAACACAGTGAGTGTGGGGCTGTCTGAAGTTGTGGTCTCACAGAAGGGCTTGACACAGAGCTTGGGGCAGAACATGGAGCTCAGAGGGAGAACACGGAGTTCAGAGGGAGAACATGGAGCTCAGAGGGAGAACACAGAGCTCGCATGTGCAAGTCGGAGGAAAGGACAGAGCCTGGCCCCACCTGAGTCCCCATAGGAAGCTGTGCCTGATGGCACAGGCTGCTGGGGGAAGGGGCAGACGGTGGGTGCTAGAGCAGAGCACGATGAGGCCACCTGTGCCTAACGGTGACTCGCTAGATTCCAAAGCATGTGCCACAGGAAATGCGATAATGCCCAGCGGAGCCCAGGGCAGGCTCACATCTGGTCAGCGAAGCAGCCAGCAACCTGTATCCTCTCAGCATTAGTATGTGTGAGGGGTGGGGTGGGGTATAAGCTGGGGCCCAAGAGCCAGGAAGAGTGTGGAAGGGCAGTGGAAGGATACCACTCCATCAAATGAAGGGGCCAGGAAGCCCACTGGAGGCTGCCCTGGATTCTGGGGACCCATGTGCTGGGCAGGCAAGGGTCCCATCTAGCTCCATCCTGCTGGGCTGATGGAGACGTGGCCCACGTGGAGGCCAGGGGTCCCCTGGCATTGAGTGCATGCCAGCTCAGAGCCCCGCAGCATCCGGCCGAGTGGGCAGCGGGAGCCCATGTCGGGATCCAGTGGCACTGCTGGAAAGTGTGGTGGTTTGTGATTCTGGCCAAATATCAAGCAAAGAGGGCGTCACCTCACCTTACCCCCGATTATGACAGTCCTGGGCACACAAGCCTTGGCAGGGTCCTTCTTTATTCCTGCAGGACAAACAGATTCAAGTGAGCCGCAGTGACCAGTGTCCACAGAGGTCAACCCAACACAGGGTAGGCACAGCCACTGGGCCCTGCACACCCGCCAGGAAATCCCACTCACACGTGTGCCCCAGGGCCGCGAGGAAGGCCAGCCAGGAGCAGACCCTTCCAAAGGCACTGTTTCCAGAACACCCAACACAGGAGCCGGGTGTGGGTCGGTCCCAGTACAGGACTGGCACACGAGAAAGAGGTCACTTCAGGATTGTGGCCATGGCACCATTAGCTCTCAAGGGTGTCAGGCAAGACTCCAATTCCCCCTACCCTCATCCTGAAGCTCCCCTGAGGGCAGACACGGTCAGGCACTCTAGTCCACTGTGGTCGGCCACCTTCAGCCCCAGCGAACTGAGTGTGTCCTGGCCAGGCCACCAGTTACAATGTGTGTGGCGATGTGTGTGTGTGTGTGTGTGTGTGTGTGTGTGTCATGTCTATACAAGGGTGAGAGGCAGCCCTAGCAGCGTTTACCAGAGACCTGGAACCAGCCATAAGCAATGTAGAGTGATGGCTTATCTTTAATCTATGACTTCATGTTCTAATAGAAACACAACTGTATCTGACTCCTGAATCTCCCTGCTTCCATAAATCAATTAGGATAATGTGAAGTACAGCAAAAAAATAAAACCACATTTTCACTGAAACTTTCATAGGAAAAACATGCTAACTCTATGGGGGTGGGTAGGAACAAGACTGGGACACAAGGGTCTCAAGACCTGTCTTCCCCAGAGGGGCCAAGTGCAAGGGAGATAGGGAAGGAGCCTCCGGCGCCAGGCAGGTTGACCTCTGCAGCGCCTTCCCCACAGGGAGAACCTGGGAGAGGAGCTGATACCCTGGTGGACAGAAGTCTGCGGGGTGGAAACCAGGACAGCCAGGCCAGGGAGCCCTGAGCCAGCGTGGACTTGGAAGAGACAGAGGAGATGCAACCACAGAGAGGTGCCGGGCCTGAGGGGCCCGAAGCTGCCTGGAGCCCCCCATGGCTCCTGCGGGTCAGCTGAGCACTGCAGCTCACTCATCTAGAAACCACAAGCATGAACACAGTTTCTCCACAGACGAGGACACGGAACCTCCCTCCCTGTGAGAAGCTCCAAACAGCAATGACCGTCAACATAGAAAGGGGGCCCAGAGCAGAACTCAAGACCACAGGAATGGGCAGGACTCGGGAGCACATTAAAACGAGAACTGGCAGAACACAGAGCTCAGAGGCAGAACAGAGAGCTCAGAGGGAGAACACGGAGCTCAGAGGGAGAACATGGAGCTCAGAGGGAGAACACGGAGCTCAGAGGGAGAACACGGAGCTCAGAGGAAGAACTCAGAGCTCAGGGGCAGAACCTGGAAGCACAGAGGCAGAACATGGAGCTCAGAAGCAAAACCTGAACCTCAGGGACAGAACCTGGAGCTCAGAAGCAGAACCTGAATCTCAGTGATAGAACCCGGAGCTCAGAAGCAGAACTGCCACAAGTGATTGCAGCTGCAGTAGAGAAGCCGAGAGGGAGGAGACTCAGCACAGCACAGCACACACACAGGATGGAAATGAGAAGCTCAGAGAGCCTAATGGAGAAGGAAAGACCTTTAGATGTTCTGAGAGAAATCACCAGGCAAGACACACACACACACACACGTAGCAGGAGTCCCAGAAGAAAACCAAAATGGTGGCAAAAATAAGTGTTTTAAATATATTTCAAGAAAACTTCCTAGAAATAATGCAAGGTAGCAATCAACACATTCAAAGTAGCCTGAGCATGAAGAAAATAGACCGACAGTGGCCAGCACCCAGACACAGCACGGTAAAACCTACATAGACCCAAGACACCAGAACTCACCCTCCAAACAGAGAGCACAGGACCTAAAAGATACTCAGTGGAAAAAGGTGAACTGAAAATGTCACCTTCAAACCATCCTTCATGTTGAAAGAACAAGCGAGAAGCTGGGGGTGCAGTTCACGGGAGCAGCGTTGTGAACTAAAGGGAAGTCCAGGCAGGGTGGCCGTGCAAAAGGACTGGTGGGCACTGAATGTGTCCATCTGCAGACTACGACCAAAATCACGCCAGATATGGGGACAGCAGAGTGTCAACACCGTGTGCTGTAATCACGGAGAAAGCACCAGAGCGCCTGTACACACACACACACACACACACACACACGCACAGGCGGGTGAGTGAGGAAGAGCTGAGATCACAGGGCGTGTTAACAGCTGACAAGCACAGCAGGGGTAGTTGGTGATGGAGCACAAAGGCACACACAGAACAGGTGACAGAGAGACAGCTGACTGCAGGGGCCACAGTGGGAGGAATAAGGTGGTGCCCATGACTTCTCCGCTGCTTGTAAACTGGGTTCAGGGAGGGGACTCAGGGACATTCCTGAGAAAATGACAACTAAAGTGCAGAGACTCATGATGCAAAAGGAAAACACGGCAAATAAGGCAGAACGCGGTCTCCACGGGTGAGCTGGCGGCCGAGAGGGGCCGCACTCACGGTTGTACAGGGTGATGATGTGCAGGCAGTTCAGCAGCTGCCGCTTGTACTCATGGATCCTCTTCACGTGCACGTCGAACATGGAGGACGGGTTGATCCGCACCTTGTACTCCTTCTCCAGGAAGGCAGAGAACTTCAGCTTGTTCTCCTGGGGAGGAAAGGGGAGATGGACGGACGGTTCCCAGGAACACGAGCTCCGCAGCGTCTGACTCTGCTGAGAGTATCTCTGTCCCTGGTCAGAAGCGAGGCACGGGGGGCTCCCAGGACGCCCGCTGCGCCCAGGGGAGGGCCGTGATGTCCGGAGGCCAGCGCTGAGGGCTGAGGGGTGGCAGCCGTGTGAGGGAAAGTGGGGGTGGGGGAAGCGTGATCCGGAAAGTGAGTACCCACCACCAGTGATAGAAATAAATGCAAAACTAGATCAAATAGCAAACCTGGGAAAAGCAAAGCATGAGAAAAGCAGAATAAAGGGGGACCAGTGAATGTGGTGTAAAAGGGGGTGGATGTGGGCAGTTGGGGAGAGAGGCGGGAGGGGTGAGAGTTAAAAATGAGGGGCCGATTCTGGGCACAGCACACGCGCCTCCGGGTCGGTCCTCACTCTCCAGCGGCAGCCCCGTGTGGTCTGCAGTCTCGGGTGCACAGGCCTGAGCTGCCCTCTGACCAGCTTCCCGACTGAAGCCGCCTGGTAAAGATGGTGCGTCCAGGCTGCTCTGGGGTCTCCGCCCGCCCCCCGCTGTGGCCTGAGGTCAGTCGGCTTCATGGGAAAAGCTCAGTGGAGAGGATGGGCCCCCACACGCAGAGCGGTGGGGACCTGGCGCCACGCTAGGTCTGGGCGGCCGGGCTGGCTGCACGCGGCCTACCTGCTTGACCTGGGCCACCTCCCTGATGAGCGCCTCGTCGTTGACCAACGGCAGCAGCTTCTTCAGCTGACTCAGGTCCGTCAGGAAACCCTCCCCGATTTTCTGGAGAAGGGTAAAGGGACACGTGGTTTCTGCTCCTGTTGGGACCGGTCCTCCCGTTTGGTCACCCATGCCTCCCACTCCCCCTGTCCCTCCCTGGCACACACACAGCCCTGATGGGCAGTGCCCCGTGGCAGGCCCTCACCGGGCACCACTGCACACACCTTGCAGGTAGGAAGCTTCATCCCCTCGTCCCGAGTGAGCACCTGAGCAAGTCCAGGAACTGCCACATCTTTGGCTCACAAAACCTCTTTGGCTACTGGCCTATGGCTGCTGCTTGGCTGGGTGCTCCACCCCAGCCCGCCCTGAAACCCCAGGACCTCGATTCTGAGCTACCCGCCCCCAGGCCAGAGACCACTGCCCTGGCTGTCCCCGCGGTCCCATGCCGGGGACGGCAGCTGGCGCCACCTACTCCCGTCCAGAGCCACTGCTGGGCCTCACAGGGAGCCGTCTGCGCCCGCTCGGCACCCACTGGCCACGGGCCTGACGACTCCCGCGGGCGGAGGTGTGGCTCCCACGGAGCCCACCGTCCCCGGGGACTCGGAGGTGCGGCCTCACCTCCGTGATGGTGTCCGCCAGGCCCGGGTTACACAGGAGCAGCCAGCGCCGGGGCGTGATGCCGTTCGTCTTATTCTGGAACTTCTCTGGCTCCAGCTCGTAGAAGTCCTTAAAGCTGAAACCACAGAGACGGGCACAGGGACAGATGCTGTGTTCTGAGCAAGGGAGCTTAAGGAGCTTGTGAGGAAATGCCCGGGAGGGTCCTGAAGCTCAGTTTTCCTGCTCTGTTTCCCAGAGAAGGTGGAGCAGCCTGCGTCACTGCACACGCAGCCCACGCCTTTCCGTGCGCCCCATGCCCGCTGTGCAGAGGCGGCTAGCTATAACCTCACAGGCAGCAAGATGGGCCTTCTTCTGAAGTGATCATGACCGTGAAGAATGGGGACACCCTCCCCCTGAGAAGTCTGCTGTAGGATTCAAGCCTCTGGTCAGGCGCCAGGAACACAGGCGTCTCCACAGCACAGACCTGGCCGAGGCCCGCCCGCCCGCTGAGAGTGAGGGTGGAAGAAGGGGCTCTAGGGTCACCCCCCACTTCCAGGGGGTCTGACCTAAGGACTCCTCCATCCTCCCAGGGACCAGCCACTGCCCTGCACACCCTGACCATCGCCCGGTCCAAGGCAGGACACTCGTCCCTGTGGGCCCTCCCGGCACCTGGCCAGCGGCAGAGGCTCCAGGAGCACAGCCACAATGTAGAGAACAGGAGCCACCGGCGATGACCAGGTCCAGCCCCTCAACACTACCCGTCGGCCAAGGGGCTCTGGGCAGGCCAGCCACGGCCCACAAGGGCAGCACCACGTGGTGTGGAGCAGGGCCACATGCCTCAGCCACGTGCACGTGAGCAGGTGTGGGTCAGAGAGGAGGCAGGCCCTGGCCCAGGCCCGCAGCGGCCTCACTCACACAGAGTGCTTCACGATCTCCGAGTGGATCCTCGCTACGCCGTTGACGGCGTGGGAGCCGATCACACACAGGTGGGCCATGTTGATCCGCTTGCAGTCCCCTTCCTCAATCACAGACATCCTCCGCAGGCGGTCCACGTCCCCCGGGAACAGGGCAGCCACTTGCTGTTCCAAGACAGAGGCACGAGCAGGAGGGGCTCCCTGAGGCAAGTCTAGTTTTCTCCAAGAAGGTCCTGGGGCTGCTGCCCCCAGACTTGCGCTCACATGCCCTGGTCACACCTCCGGGGGCCCATCCTCCCCCCGCATCGCCCAGGGGAAGCCCAGGGGGACTCGGCAGAGCGGCGCTGTCGGCGGCAGGCCCAGAGGACGCGCGGGGCTAAAGCCGTGCCATGTGACTACATGGTCTGCACCATGACCTTGTCTGCAGGTAACAAAGACAACACGGACTTTGTTTCCAAATCACTCAACTGCGGCTATGTCGTTTCTGGCATTACAAGAATAGACACTTAGATCCAAACCCCACGAGGAAATAGCATTTTAAAAAGACCTGAACGCCCAGTTGGCATGGCTCAGTGATTGAGCATCGACCTATGAATCAGGAGGTCATGTTCGATTCCTGGTCAGGGCACATGCCCAGGGTTTTGGTCTCGATCCTCAGTGTGGGGTGTGCAGGATGCAGCCGATCAATGATTCTCTCTCATCACTGACATTTCTCTCTCTCTCTCTCCCTCTCCCTCTCCCTCTCCCTCTCCCTCTCCCTCTCCCTTCCTCTCCGATATTAATAAAAATATATTTATTTTTTAAAAAAAGACTTGAATCCCTAACTCCCATGTATATAGCAGGGGCTACGTGTGGGGACTAGCCAACAGCTCTACCAAGTGACAGCCCCTAGATCTCAAAATCCTCGCTGGACAGAGGCTATTTGGTTCAAGAAGTGATGTGGGAACCCAGGAGGGCCACGGGTGCGGGTGTAGCCCATCAGCCTGCCTGGCCCCCCTCCTGCCCCCCCCCCCCCCCAAGCAGGGCCAGTGCTCACGTCCAGGTGCCTCTGGTTGATGGCGTAGATGATCTCCAGGTGCCGCGGCAGCAGCTGCCCAAACATGGACACAGGCCAGCGCTCCAAGGCCTCCGGCAGCACCGTGTGGTTGGTGTATGCACAGGTCTTCTTTGTGATTTCCCAGGCCTAGAACATTCCAGAAAATTCCAGTTGTGCTTTGCTTAGAAACAATCAAGCTCTCTTGCCAGATGCCTCAGCAAGGGGGAAATCTCGGATCAAAGGTAGACATTAAGATCTTACCAGAAAGGGGCCTGTCTAGAACCTTCTCAAAACTGCAGTTAGGCCCAATGCCCTTCATTTTCCTGATACGATCTACAAATATTATGCATCCTCTTCAAGCAAACACACACAATGAGTAAAGCTTACCCTACTACCTAGGGTCACCTCAGTCTCCTCTTTTGTAAACTATTTTAATTTTTATTTATAGTTTACATACACTATAAATTTTTCTTAGTTTCAGGTGTATGACATTGTTGTTAGATAATCATAGACTTTACAAAGTGTTCTCCCCGATATTTTCAGTACCCACCTGTCACTAGTTATTAGAATATTGACTATATTCTTTATGCTGTACTTTACACCTTCCAGATTATTTTGTAACCATCAATTAATTTGTACTTCTTAATTCCTTCATCTTTTTCGCCCAACTCCCCAACCCCAGACCCCTGGCAACCATTAATCTGATGTCTGTGTCTACAATTGTGTTTATTTTGTTCTTTAGGTTCCACATGTAAGTGAAATCATATGGTACGTGTCTTTCTCTGAATGACTTATTTCACTTAGCGTAATAGCCTCTAGGTTCACCCTTACTGTTGCACATGGTAAGATTTCATTCTTTTTTTTTTTATGGCCAGGTAATATTATATTGTATTAAGTACCACTTCCATTTTTTAACCCTCACCCGAAGATGTTTTTATTGATTTTAAAGAGAGAGGACAGGAGAGGGAGAGAAACATCGATGTGAGAAATACCAATTGCCTGCCTCCAGACTGGGGATCGACCCTGCAACCTGGGTATGTGCCCTGAAATCAAACCCGCGACCCTTCTGTGCACAGCATGAACCAACTGAGCCATGCCCCCAGGGCTGTCCCACTTCTTCACTCAGCTGTCTATAGATGGGCACTTGGGTTGCTTCCACATTGGCTATTTGTAAACAACATTGCAGCGAACATATGCTCTTTCAAATTCGTGTTTTGGTTTCTTTGGATGTAAACCCGGAAGGGGAATCACTGGGTCATACGGCAGTTTCATTTTTATATTTTCTGAGGGCCCTCTGTAGTGTTCTCTGTAGTGGCTGCACCAATCTGCATTCTCACCAACAGTGCACAAGGGTTCTTTGTAAACTATATTTTACTGGTAAATAAAATAGAGCACTGAGCCGGGACCGTTTGGCTCAGTGGATAGAGCATCGGCCTGCAGACTGAAGGGTCCTGGGTTCGATTCCGGTCAAGGGCATGTACCTTGGTTGCGGGCACGTCCCTAGTGGGGAGTGTGCGGGAGGCAGCTGATCAATGATTCTCTCTCATCGATGTTTCTAGCTCTCTATCCCTCTCTCTTTCTCTCTAAAAAATCAATAAAATAAAAAAATATTTTAAAAAAATAGAGCACTGAGCAGTTTTTTATTTCCACTAAACCGACTTGACACCCACAGCCTGGAGAACGTTCATAAACTGTGTCCTGCCCTCTACTGACCAGGAATGGTCAGGACCAAGATGGGCTGCTCAGTCCCATCAGGTGCACCCCAAAACAACAGAGGGGCCCTGGGTTCTATAAAACAGGGTAAGTTTTGTTTTGTAGTTTCACATCTTGATTTAATTAGAGTAGGTCAAGGATATACCAGCCTTAACTCGTTTGGCTCAGTGAATAGAGCGTTGGCCTGCAGACTCAAGGGTTCCAGGTTCGATTCTGGTCAAAGGCATGTACCTTGGTTGCGGACACATACCCATTAGGGAGTGTGCAGGAGGCAGCTGATCTATGTTTCTCTCTCATCAATGTTTCTAACTTTCTATCCCTCTCCCTTCCTCTCTGTAAAAAAAAAAAAAAAAAAAAAAAAAAAAAAAAAAAATCAATAAATTTAAAAAAAAAGAAAAGAATCTAGGACCAAAACTGATCCTGAAAACAACATATAAAGATGTAAACAGCCGAAACCGGTTTGGCTTAGTGGATAGAGCGTCAGCCTGCGGACTGGAAGGTCCCGGGTTCGATTCCAGTCAAGGGCATGTACCTTGGTTGTGGACACATCCCCAGTAGGGGGTGTGCAAGAGGCAGCCGATTGATGATTCTCTCTCATCAATGTTTCTAACTTTCTATCCCTCTCTCTTCCTCTCTGTAAAAAATCAATAAAATACATTAAAAAAAAAAAAAAAGATGTAAACAGTGTATTTCTTTAAATGTAATACTATGGGATTTTTGCTATGATTTCTAAGATGAGAAAATATACATTGTTTACAAGCAATGGGAAAGATTTTAAAGGAAGGAAAATGGGTGCCACATCAACTAATCGAAAGACAAATGGAAAACTGAAAAGTCATCAGTAAAATGTTGTTTCAATGGCACAAAAGAAAGTCTTTTTTGCATCAAGTTGTGACTGGCAATGAAAAGTGGATTTATTTTGAGAATCCCAAATGCACAAAATCATGGGTTGATCCAGGTCAACCATCAACATTGACTGCAAAGCCAAATCGCTTTGGAAAGAAAACAATGCTCTGCGTATCAAGGTGTGGTGTAAAACCAGGTGAAACCGTTAATACTGATCGCTACTGACAACAAATAATCAATTTGAACCACGCTTTGATCATGAAACGACCAGAATGCGCCAGAAGACATGGCAAAGTAATTTTGCTTTATGATGACGCACCATCACATTCTTCAAAACCAATTTAAAAACACGTTAAAAGATCTTGCCTGGGAAGTATTAACCCACCCGCTGTATTCACCAGAACTTTCTCCTTCAGATTACCACTTGTTCTGATAGATGGCACAAGCAGTTTCTGAGCAGCACTTCAAAACGTACGGAGAAGTGGAAAATTGGGTTCCTGAATGGTTTGCCTCAAAACAAGAAAAGCTCTATGGGATGGTGTCCACAAATTCTCTGAAAGATGGAGGAAATGTGTAGCTAGCGATGAAAATTACTTTGAATAAAGCACTTTTGATGTTTCTCTTGAAATTATCGTGTTTTCTTTGATTACAAAATCTGCCATTATTAACAAGTACACCTCGTATACGAGGAGCCCTAACAAGTGTCAGGATCCTTTTCTTGGCTTCCAAAACAAGTGTCCTGTGTTCCTGTACCCGTTTCCACTCACTGTGTCCCAGGCCCTGGGGAGAGACACCAGACCTACCCCTGGAACTTTGTTCTCCTCCCCTCAGCCCGTCTCCTTGGGGACAATGTCCCACCATTCCGCCAAGTCCCTCAATGCTCAGGACTAGCTCAGCACTCACAACCATTGCTGGGGCAGACTCCAAGGTCAGGGGTGGTCTCCCCATGCGTACCTCCGCAGCGAATACCATCACCCCCAAGTGCCCAGCTCTGCAGGGAATACCGTCACCTCATGTACCCAGCTCTGCAGAGGATATTGTCACCCATGTGCCCACATGTACAGGAAATAACATCACCCCCATGTGCCCTGTCCTACAGGGAACACCGTCACCTCATGTACCCAGCTCTGCAGAGGACACATCTACAGGGAAATCCATCACCCCCATGTGCCTAGCTCTGTGGGGGACACCATCACCCCACACCCAGGTCTGTGGGAGACACTGTCACCCCACACCCTTGTCCTCATCCTCACCTTGTCCCAGTCCACTTTCTCCACATCCACCAGGATCCGCATGAGCTCAGGAATGGCGAGGGCTGGGTGGGTGTCGTTCAGCTGAATGGCAACCTGAGGTTTACACAAAGTGATACCTTCAATCACCTTGAGCCCATGGAGTGGACCTACAGGCCGGTATGTGCAGGCCTGAGGTCCTCAGCAGCCACGCCTTAGGAGTCTACAGGGATGACGGCAGGGAGCAGACAGGGCCGTGCAGGTGCTGGGCCAGCTTGAAATCGACCAAGGAGCAGGCTGAGGGCCACAGGGGGCTGGAAGAACCCCCTGGGTTGGCTTTGCAGCATGTCTGCTCTGCAGCAGCCACCCAGGACTGCAGGACACCCCTCCCCACAAGGCCCTATCAACTAGGGTACGTTGGATTAATTTACAGTCATTGAACTAATACTGTCGAACACGGCCGGCTATGCCCACAGGAGCCTCCCACCGTGTCCTTACTGCCTTGGCTCCTGGCAAGGCCCAGTGTGGCCCTGGTTGGGGAAGAAGAGGGACTTACCCCGCCCCCATGATGATGCGGAAACAGAGATGAGGGAATGCTGCTATCCCACTCACGCCCCAGCCTCAAGGAAGAAACTAAGCCTGAGAGCATCTTGTCCTCCCCCACCGAGCTCAATCCCAAGTCAACAAACACAAACCTTGTCTGGGAATATCTCAAAACAGGTCCTCACTGGGTCCCGGCAGCCAAACTTGGAGGACTTAAAGCGGCGGACGATGTCCTGCAGGGTGGCAGCCACCACAAAGTACTCCTGCTTCAGGCGCAGCTCCTTCCCCTCGAAGAACTGAGGAACAGAACAGCCCCATCACCAACCCAGACTCTGAGGCCGCTACAGGCCCTCAGCGGCCCCCCGGGACCCAGGAGCGGGTATCAGACAGAGGGTTGGGGGCACCCTCCCCCCGGGACCACAGAGATGTTGTGTGGATAAAAGGAGAGCCCTTGGGAGCAGGGTGCTGATACCCCAATCCCCACAATCCTGGGGTCCAGATGGCAAGTGACCTGAAGCTGAGGGCACAGATGGAAGGTCGCAAGTGGCCTAACCTGCGTGTGACCTTCAGATAAGGAGTGAGCACAAGGGCAGCCAGGAAAGGACACACCACCCTGTGTGAGGACTCAGCCTGGTCCCTTCACTGTGACAGGCTGAGTGCCAGGAACACCAGGCCACCCAGAAATGCAACCTCCAAAGCCCATTCTGAAAATGCCTCGTGCCTGAAGCTTTAGAATCTGATAAAAAAAAAAAAAAACTCAGGGAGCATTTTACCATGAGCCTTTCAGCACCAAAGTTCTTTGCTACTAGGTGTACATATTCCTTTGATAAAATAAAACAAACACAGGACCCACTATGATAGGCAGATTTCAAGGGTGATTTTCTGGCAGCAACGATAAAAATGCCACCAAACACTAAATTCAGTGACAATAGAAAATGTGACTGTGACCTTCATATTTAGTCCTAAAGGCCCGGTGCATGAAATTCATGCACTCGTGTGTGTGTGTGTGTGTGTGTGTGTGTGTGTGTGTGTGTGTGTCGGGGGGGTCCCTAAGTCAGGCCTATGCCCTCTCGCAGTCCTGGAGCCCTTGGGGGGGTGTCCAAATGACAGCGTAGGCCCACTTCCCTGTGGAGAAGTGGGCCTACGCCGGCAGCAGGACATCCTTAGCGCTGCCGCGAAGATGAGGCTCCCACCACTGCTGCTGTGCTCGCCAGCCCTGAACCCGGCTTCCGGTGGAGCAGCACTCCCCCTGTGTCACTGACCACCAGGGGGAAGCTCCTACATGGAGAGTCTGCCCCCTGGTGGCCATATGCATCATAGCAACCGGTCATTTAACTGTTTGGTTGATTTGCATATTAGCCTTTTTATTATGTAGGATGAGGTGGACACCAGCCAAGAACTTTTCAAACCATGATTGTCGTGCATCTTAAGGTGTCACTGCAAAATAGGGATTGCTGTCCCCCACTTGACAAATAGGTCATCTACTTCTTGGGAAAGTGGCATCAGAAAACCAGAAACCACCTGGACATCAGTCATGTGGTCTCACCAGCAAGCAGGCCTGTAGAGAGCCCCAGCCTATGCAGAGACAAACTATGGACGCTACTCACATTGTCATTGGGGTACAGGACTCTGGAGATGTTCTCAGCCAGATTTCTGTCCAGGACCGCCTCGATGTAGCCGCCCGTGTTAACTAGGAGTGGAGATGAGATGGTGAGGTCAGGACCTGCATCCCTTCTCCCGCACGCCCTCACGCCAGGTGCCGCACCTGCTTCCCTAACCTAAGGACAAACATTCCTGAACAGAAGGCACCCCCCAGAGCTGTTGCTTTGCCTGCCTCCTGCTGCCCCCTCTAAAAGTTGCTGGGTGCCTTATCCCCCATGCGCCCTGCAAGGCCCACAGCCCCTGGCTCTTTCCTGAGGGTGCAGGCCGGGCGGGAGGGGTGGGCTCTGCCTGGAGTCTTCTGCTCACAGGAACCTGCCCTCTGCCCAAAGCAGTGAGGGTGCAGAGCGGGGACAGGAGCTGTGTGAGTCTTAGATAAGTCACCCCGCGGAGACTCAAGGGCACAACTCACAGTCCTGGAGACTGAAGTCGTTGGGCGCTTTGGCGGACCACAGCCTCATGGTGTTGACAGTGTTGTTCTTGTAGCCTGGCACCGGCGTGTCGTATGGCATGGCCAGCACCACCTGCCCGAGTGAGAGATGGTCAGGGTCAGGATCGAGTCAGCCGGAGACAGTGCCCAGTTCTGGGCCCACCTGCAGAGCAGCGCCAGCCCAGCGGGAAGCACCTGCTCATCCTCCTCTGGCTTTTCTCCTTCTGCCCAAAACCATGTCCTTATCCACAGTCCCACCACCCTCCCCACCTGCTGTACACCCGCCGCACCTGCAGCCCCAGCTCTCGGACATGCTGAGTCAGGCCTGACAGGTAAGGCTGAATGCACTCCTGAGGTCACACTGTCTTTTTAGCCTTACCTGCTTCAGTACTGACACCAGCTTAACAATTCTTCCCACCCTGAGGGGACCGGGCTCATGCTCCCTCGGAAACTACTATGTCCTCGTTCTCTGCCCTCACACCCTAACTCTTCTCACACAACCAACTTCCCCCAAACACTCTTCCACTCTGACCTCCATTCCCATGTCTGCGGGGAGGCCCTCCTGCTGTGTGCCGGGATAGCTAACTCTCAGTGACGCCGAACCAGCCCACCCGCTCGCCTCCCAACAGAAAGTGCAGGACCTGCTCTCCCACTAAGGAGGCTGCCATCCCCCTCCCAATGCCCTCCGAGCTCTGCTCTTGGGAGGCACAGGAAGAAGTGGATAAGCCTCAAGGTCTCTTCCAGCCCTCAGGCCCTCCCATCGGCCTTCTCACATGCAGTCATGCTCTTGGCGGCACCCACAAGGGCACCGTGTGGCTTTATAAGACAAGAGCAGCTCGGGCAGCCACAAAAGACTACGGAAGGGCACCACTAGGTGTAAGCCCCAGCGTCATCTTTCCCTTCGGATCTCCGCTCAACCCTCACCCCGCCCGCGGCTCGCCATCTCCATGGCTTTGTCCAAGCAGGTGGAAGCCCTGCAAAGCACCTCCAGCTGCCCTCCTTCCTCTCACGGCCAGCCCTCCGGGGCGAGGCCCTCGTCGTGTTCAGCCGGGGACGCCCCAGCATTCTCTGGGCCTCCTTCCGTACGCGGACACGTTCGCCTTCCACAGGCGCACACGTAGAGGCACCATCCCCTTCTCCGCTTTTTCAAGTTAAATACTACTTATTAAGGCTCTGTAGGCCTCCAGCCACTGGCCTCTCTACGCGTCGGGGGCTCTGAGCTGCCCCGGGGATACCGAGAGCCATGGGCACCCCGGGGACCAGGCGCCTGTGGCGGAGAGCACGCTGAGCCCCTGGGGAGCCGTGTGTGTCCCCCAGGGGTTCGAGGCCCTTGTCCCCGTCACAGCGCTGTCCGCCCCTGGTTGTCATTAAACAGCTGCTGGTCTCCACCCCAGCTCACAGCCCCCGGTAAACTAGAGTGTGGCTTTGGGTTCAGCACTTTCCACTGAAGAATTTCTGACAAAACGTAAGAAATCGAAGGCATGAGAAGCAAACCTCCCAGGCTTCTCCCCTGAGTTAGGTCTCCCGCGGAAGCTTACGGTGCGTCCTGAGTGCACGCCTCCCACTCCCACAGCAAACCCCGAGGTCCTGCTCTCAGCCCACGCTCCCCGGGACGCACGGTGGGTACCTGCGTGTCCAGCCACTTCACCCCCTCGGGGGTGTGCTCCACTCGCCCGTAGAAGTGCACGGGAAGCATGTACTCCGGCCGGGCCTTCTCCCAGGGGTTGCCGTAGCGCAGCCAGTCATCGGCCTCCTCCACCTGGAAAGCAGCCAGCAGCACACAGTTGATGGAGAGGAGAGAGCCCGGGCTGACAACTGCATCCTGCGTGACTCAAACCCCATCGAGACATAGGGCATTTCCATCAACCCGGTCATCAGCTGTTTCGCTGAGACTATACTACTCTTTGAGTTACAAAACTTTCCAATCCTAACCACATCCTGGCTTTGTATGCGACTTTTAGGCCCCAAATTATACTAAAAAAATGATTCTCCCCCCCAAAGGGAATAGTTATGCCTTCCATTTGGAAATGCCAAATGAGGGGGAGCAACCCCTCGCCCAGAGGAGGACAGGGGACTGCGCTTTAAGATAACGTTCCTCACTGATGGGGTTCCAACCGCCTCGGGTCTGATGCTCTAGAACTGGGGTTCACTAAGGGCCCCTTTCCTTTGCAGGGTCCGGCATCTAACCCCACATGGTGCTGTTCTCTCACTGATGTCGGGGAGATAAGGCTGAAGGTGGGAATAAGACCACTGACAACTGGTCCAGGTCAGTTGTCCCTCTGAGGGTGAACCAGCGAGGGGCCACTTTGGCTCTGCGCTGAGATAAGACGGGAACAAACCTCCACTCAACCTCCACCCCGGTGTCCTCTAGAAGGTCCAGCAGGCTCTGCCGCGCCCCCTCCCTGCCCCCGTGTGCAATGCGCTCACACAGGAGACCAGCTTCTGCTGGCCCCTGTGGAATGTGAAGAAAGCATGGAGCTTATAGGATTGCCCTGACCTACCTGGCCTCTGCTTGTCTAGTACTGGCATGTGGTCTCTCCATGAAGGAATTTAAAATACTAAAAGCCGAGATGGCTTTTGCATCTACTGTAGCCAGAGAACCTTGGTGGTGATTTTTTATCTCACCACAGGGGTGGCATTCGAGGGCCTGCTTGTGGCCTGTGTGGAGGGCTCTGGTCTCGGGTTTGCACGTTGTCCTTTCCAGTGAGTCTGTGGAGATCTGTGGGTTTGTTCTCCTGGGTTTCAGGGGAAGTGTTTAACTTTCTAGTGACTGATTGTTGGGTTTTGAAATACCAAAGCTTTCTTTTGTTGTGTTTTGAAATAAATCTCTTTTAAACTTAAAAAAAAAAAAATTACTAAAAGCTGAATGGAAAGTGCACCTATTTATTTTCTTGTGCAAACGAGAGCTGGAAATGAACGAAGGAACCAAGTCTCACCCACCTGCCAGCCATTGACAATCTTCTGGTTAAAAATCCCAAACTCATAGCGGATTCCATAGCCATATGCTGCCAGGCCCAAGGTGGCCATCGAGTCAAGGAAGCAGGCTGAAAATCGAAAACACAAAGAACTTCTGATCAACATGTTCCAGGCCCACTGAAAGCAAAGCTCTAAGTTAACCAGGCGCTGGGTGCCAGCCTCCAGGGGGTCAGGGGGTCAGTGGTGACACCGTCAGCTTCAGCTGCCATGGAAAAGAAAACTGAAACACACCCTCACTCCCTTCGGCTGGAGAGCCCGGGGTAAATGTGGGGGTTCGTGGAAGATTCGGAGGGAAGAGAACACAGCCACACGTGGGGCATCTCCAAATGCATCAGTCCCACTGCCAACTTCCTCCCAGAGTCTCACTCGGACTGACGGCCTTCCATCCCCCGCATTGTCAACCCCAAATCCAGGCTGTCTGGATGGCAGGGGCACGTACACATAGTGAAGGCATAGAAGCAAGGGCCGGGAATGTACATTTCTCTGTCCACGGCGCCCAACACCTAACCGCCATCGTGCCCCCAGAGTGTGCGGGAAGCGGCTGGAGCAGCGTGTCACCAACTGACCCCTTGCTCCGATCAAAATGTCTTGTGGAAAAGAAAGCACCATGCTTTAAATAAAGACCCAGAATGCGGCCTTGTTAACCTTCTGGATTAAAAGAAAGAAAGAAAGTAAAGGGAGAAAAAAGACTCTACACAATAAGAAAAACACAAACACACAAACGAAAGCACGCCCAAGTCCCCAAACATGCACAGGCCCCTGGAGGCCAGCCCTTCACTGAGGGAGAGAAATAAGGAAAACCCGAACACGTCAGGTCTGGGCTCTTGTTTTGAGGAAACCATTCTCACAGGTGGACAGAGGACACAGGAAGCTACAGGAGCTGTGGAACCGGAGGGGCCCGAAGGAGGAGGTGCCATCACACCCGCCCACAGGAAAGGCCATACAGACATGGAGGACCAGCAGTGGACGTGAATCTGACTGGGGAAGCCCTGGAATGCCCAGAATGTAAGTGGATTGTGAAGGGCAGGGGGTGGGACTGCCTGGCTGCCAGTTCCCAGCTTTGGTGAGAGGGGAGGTGAGGATCCACTCCAGTAAAGAACACCAACCGGCCTGGAGCTTGGGAAGCAGGTTCTGTTTTTCCTGTGATTACCAGAATGCCGCCAGGGGAAGGGGACTGGGTGGACCGACCCTCGGGCTGGAGGCCCTGGGGCTCCAGGGGAAGCAAGCCCTGGCTCACTGTCTGGGATGATCTCACCATCACACACCAAACTGGGCCCTGCCCTGGAGAGCAGGATGCCCGGGACCCACAGGGGCTTTTCACACTAAGGGTGGGGGTGGGCAGGCCTTGCCAAATCTATCTATCTTTCTTTCTTTCTTCCTTCCTTTCTTTCTTCCTTCCTTCCTTCCTTCCTTCCTTCCTTCCTTCCTTCCTTCCTTCCTTCCTTCCTTCCTTCCTTCCTCCTTCTTTCCTTTCCTTTCCTTTCCTTTCCTTTCCTTTCCTTTCCTTTCCTTTCCTTTCCTTTCCTTTCCTTTCCTTTCCTTTCCTTTCCTTTCCTTCTTTCCTTTCTTTCTTTTTCTTTATCAATCACTCAAGGACAGGCTTTTTATTGAATTTTAGAGAAAAGAAGGGTGGGGGGACATCAATGTGAGAGAGAAACATGGATTAGCTGCCTTCCTCCCGTATGTTCCCTGCTCTGACCGGATAGCGAACCCACAACCTAGGTATGTGCCCTGACCGGAAATCGAACCTGCAACCCTTTGGTGAAAGGAAAATGCTCCATCCGACTAAGCCACCTGGCCAGGGTGCCAATTGTTCCTTTATACAGATCCATGTGCTGTTTTGTTCGAGATAAACATATTGCATTTATAATTTGTGAAGAATTTACTTTAAAATTAAAAATACAAGCACATGCATCCCCACCCCCTAAGTTTTAGGGCATTTTCTCCCTTTTCAAAAAGACAATTCCCAAAAGAGGCCATGACACCAAGAGGGAGGGGCCTGAGCCCACCCTCCCCTCAGCCCCCAACTCAAGCAGCACAAAACCCGAGTCATCTTTGCCCTTAGAGACACTGGGCCCAAGCGCCTTGATGTCACAGTAAAATCACATCTCCCCGTGACTGCTATTTCCACTTCCCCGTTCTCAGCCAAGCTCCCTCTCCCCTAAAACACTGGCAAAAAGAAATAAAACAGAAAAACAACTGAGTATGCTCTCAAATAGTTTACCAAGGGAGTAACATCCCCCAAAGGGAGAGAGCTCTGTAAGCTGTGTGTGTGTAAGATAGGGGTGTGTGTGTGTGTGTGTGTGTGTGTCTGTCTGTCTGTCTTTTTCCCAATGACTGGCTTTGGGATTGTGCAGAATGATTGCTATATTGGAATCCCCTCCCAGCACCAGTCACTCAACACTGGCAAGCTTGGTCTTCGTGATCTTTATGAAGGGCCCCTTGGGTGACAGAGACATATGTCTTGCACTTTTTCCCTGCCAGAGGCAAAGATTTTAACCTGCAGCACACACTCTCCCATCCACCTCGAGGGACCACTTTATCCGCTCAGAACAGTGCCAGGAGCATGGCTGACCTTGGCCTCACCATGTGATCACTGACAAGGCACCATGTTAGGACAATCTTGTCCCAGACAGGTGCCTGGGCTTACCTGCCAGCCTCCCCAATCCTCCATTCCCCAGGCCAGCGTCCTCTTCTATTTCCTCCAGTTCTTCCAAGTCCAACCCCAACTGTGAATAAAAACAGAGGCAATACTTTCACATTACTTAATATTTTCACTCAGGTACCAGGTGGAATGATATTTAAACCCTGTGAGTTTATATCAAAGGGTAGAGTCTGCTTCCTTTTAGACTTAAAGTCCAATGTTAAAATCTGATGCTTAATTGCTGATCGAAAATGAAAGTTTCCAGGTATTTCAAAAACTGTCAAATTACTTAAGAATTACAGTCAAAATGAGACTTGGTTTAATAGTCAAAGATATATACTGCTGTATTATTGACTTACTTATAGAGAAAAGATTATAACATGTTTCCTAAAAATGAAACCAATGGTTTTAGTAATTCCCTAATTTCACATGGTCTAATGATAATTACATGACATTTTTTTAAACCCAAATCTAAAAACACCTTTCCGTGGCATTCCAATTATATTCAAACCAACTTGTGAAACAGATATGGTATGTTAAAAATTAGGGAAAAAGCAACAAAGTCACAACCACTTCACCTAACAGAAAACCATTCCAGAATATAGCTGTTAGGACTCTCAATTATGTTGTACTGATAATTAATCTATTAATCTTAACTTGATAAAACCCATCACATTAACAATCAACAACACTATTTAATAAAAAAAAAAAAAACAACAACAAAAAACTATGTTTGAAAACAAATAATTATTTACTGAGATGAGTTGCAGTTTTCATATTTCTACGAAGTTCTTTAATGGATTTTCTGTTCCAGCATTCAATATGTTGAAATATCACACATCATATAGCATCTGAAAAACTCTACTGCATACTCACGAAGTATAGAGTATAAAAGGCAAATAACATCCTAGTGTTATGAAAATAGTTCTGACCAAGGGGACCCCTTGAAAAAGTCTCAGGGAACCTGAGGTCTCCAGATCACACTTGGAGAATCTAATAAATTACAAAGAGTGGAAGAAGAGTTGTGAGAAAATGAAAAACATACAAAATAGTTTAGCATCTATTAAGTTAACTGAATGGTGCTAAGACATACAGTCATCTGATTTAGATATCAAAATACTGACTTAGGGCCCTGCAAGGCTCACACCACACCTCTTCCAAGAAGGCCCCCAGAGCACCTCCCACCTCAAAACCAAACCGAACCCAAGCAGAAGCAGTGGAAGGTTCTTGGGCGTAGGACGACTGTGGTAAGGACCCATCTGTGCATGTGCAAAAGGGCAGAAGCGATGCATATTCACTCAGAAAATTCTACACCGAGCATCCAGGTGAGGGAGAAAGGCCATGCCCAGGGAAGTGGGACAGAGCCAGAAAACAGATACAATCGAATCCAGCTCTGCTCTAAAACAGCAAGTGGACTGTGAAAGACCTCCGCCTAAACAACTGTTAACGACGGACCTGTCAGCAAAGGCAGCTTCTATTCTGTTTAGAGGACAAAGGCAGTTTTATAATTAGAGGATAGGATGAGCTCACAAGGGTATCTTAGGGGCAGAGGAGGGACCCTGGAGGTAGGTTACCCATTCAATGAAGCAAGGAGAAATGGGACAATACCAAATACTTCTGCCACATTGTAAATCTGTCCCTGGGGTGGGAGTGAGGAATACAGTGGTTTCTACAAGCCTCCAAACCTTAGCATTACAATGCAATCGAGCCCTTGCACTCCACTGTATTAACAGCTCTCCATCCAGTTCTTACTTTCTGCCCTTGAGAAAGAGGAGCATCACCCACCAACCCATTCTCCCTCACAAAGGACAGAGTACTCCACCAGACACTGCCCAGGCCTAACGCCCACACTCTCCTCTGTCAATGCTCACCGCGGGGGCCTGAACTAAACCCAGAGCAACAGGAGAGGCTGCCAGGCTGCCGGGCAGCCGGGCTCCACGACCCGTACCTGGTAGATGGCTTCATCACAAGCATTCTGGAGGCCCAGGTTCACCATCGTGTTCTGCAGAGTACGGCCCATGTAGAACTCCAGGGAAAGATAATAGATGCGCTGAGAGAGCAAAAGAAAGCATCTTAGACCCATCTCCATGCACAAGCAGATGGTGATGGTGATGATGAGGAGTGGATTCCAAGAGAACCTACATAGGGGTTTCATTTATGTTAACCCAGTACTTACCGGCGCATCCCCAAATGATCTCACTCCCTTCACCAGGCCTCGGCCACCCTCAGTTTTCCAAGGGCATCTCATGAGGGAACACACTCCTCCCTCACCCCCCGCTCTTTTTATTTATTTATTTTTGCTTTATGCTCTTTTAATTTTTTTATATTTTCAACTACAGTTGACATTCAATGTTAGATTAATTTCAGATGCACCAAAAGAGATTAGATCTTTGTGTATCTTACCAATTGATTTCTCCCCTGCCCTAAGTCTAGTACCCACCTGGCATCATACCTAGTTATTAAATATTAGAGGCCCAGCGCACAAAATTCATGCAACCTTGAAAGAAACTATAGGCCAGGCTGCGGTAGGTACAGGGGCAGGTCCTGGTCCATCCTCTGAGCCCCTGCCCAGCCCCTCCCACTGCGGCCCCGGTCCCCTGTCTGCTGGCAGCCCCACTGCTGCCACTCCCAGGCGCCGACATTGCCAGCCCTGCTTGCACCTGCTGATGGGCGGATTGGGGCAGTACCAGCAGCGGGTGCAAGCAGGGCTGGCACCGGTGGGAGCAGCAACTGCTGCCGGGTCGCCCCTCAGGGGCAGGGAGGTGGAGAAGTCCTCAGGGGCGATTGAGGCCGGCAGCCACCACTTGCACCTGCTGATGGTGACAAGTGATTGGGACCGGTGCTGGGCACCGGCAGCGGGTGCGAGTGATGGCTCCAGCTGCAGGTGTGAGCAGGGCTGGCACTGGCAGTGGGTGTGAGTGGTGGCTCCAGAGCTGGCAGTGGGTACAAGTGGGGACGGTGCCGGCAACAGGTGCAAATGCCAGGTGGGACCACAGCATGTGGGAACAAAGAATTTTCAGTAACCACCAGAGTCTTTCAGTAACCATCAGAATCTCATCCTGATGACAGCGACCAGAACCCTGCTTTGGTCTGGTGTCCTTGTGCGTCTGCACCACCATCCTGCTACGGCCAACGCCCACCATGTTCCACATGCTCTCTGATGGTCAGCAATTATCATTGCAACTGGTTGTTCAGTTCCATGATTTGGTCTATTTGCATTTTAGCCTTTATTATATAGGGTTATTGACTATATTTCCTATGTTGCATTTCACATCCCCGTGACTATTTCATCACTGCCTATTTGACCTTATTAATCCTTCACCTTTGTCACCACCCTCCCATTTGGCAAACAACAGTTTGTCCTCTGTATCTATGAGGTTGTTCCTGTTTTGTTCATTTTTTATTCTGTTCTTTAGATTTCACATATAAGTGAAGTCGCATGGTATTTGTTTTTCTCTGACTTATTTCACTTAGCATAACACCCTCTAGGTCTACCTATGCTGTTGCAAATGGTAAGATTTTATTCTTTTTTATGGCCAAGTAACAGTCCATTGAATATCTTACTATGTCTTCTTTATTCACTCATTTACAGATGGGCACTTAGGTTGCTTCCATATCTTGGCAACTGTAAATAATCCTGCAGTGAATATAGGGGTTCATACGTCTTTTTGAATTAGTATTTTGAGTTTCTTCAAATATATACCCAGAAGTATAACTGCTGAATCTAAGGCAGTTCCATTTTCAGTCTGAGGAACCTCAATATGGTTTTCATAGTGGCTAAACCAATCTGCCATATGTTATGACCTACGGACTGCCTTCATTTTTTTTTTTAAAAAAAAAACTGGGTTTATTTACTACACACAGGAAACATCACAGAAAAGTATAAAAGCTCTTCAGCACAAACAGATGATCAACACAGATATAATTTCCTAAAGACACCGTAGGCATTAATAAACTCTAACTGTGGAAATTAAGTTGAGCATCCATAGGGAGAGCCTTATTTTGCTCTTTACACACTGAGATTAATCTGAGATTATCTTAATCTATCACTGAGATAACAACAGGAAAGAGCCGTGGGACACATTATTTTAACCTCTGCAGAGATAAAGAAGACCATCCATCCACTCACTGAAGGAGCAGAGAAGGCCAGTTACTTACTAAACTGGCTATTCCATCCACTCACTGCAAGGATGCAGCAGCCCAGTAACACGGCAAACTGGCTATTCCACAAACTCATTGTGGAGATGCATGCCTCTTACACAGTAAACTGCCTACTCCAGCCATTCAGGCAGAAATGCTGTGGCCTGATTATATGGCAAACTGACCATTCCATGCATTCACGTGCAGGGATGCATTAAGCCAGCTACATACAAAAATGGCTATTCAAGTGTGTATCTGTATACAAGGGGGAGATACCTGTAATTCTATCAACAATAAAAAATGTATTTAAAAATAAAAAAATAATAAACTTACTATTCCATCCATTCACTAAAAGGGTGCCAAGGAACCTGGCTGTCCCATGCTCTCACTGCAAATGCATAGCAGGCCAAAGGACAGTCAACTGATAATCCCACCCACATACTGCAGGGACGCAGTGGCCTGTTACAGATAAGCTGGCTATCCCATCACTCACTGCAGGGATGCAGTAGGCATAGTAAACACACTATTCTACATGCTCACTGCATAGATACAGCAGTCATGTTACATAAGAAGCTGGCTATTTCATCTACTTACTAGAGGAATGCTGTTAGCTGGTTGCAAAATAAACTGAGTATTCCATCTACTAATAACCAGGACAGGATAATCAGGCAACATAGGGAACTAGCTATTTCACCCATTCAACGTGGGATACAGTACATACAACACGATATTTTTAGTGTAATAAAAGCAAATGCTTCAACTAGTATAGAAAAATAAGGTGTAGAACACAAAATGTTTGTAACATTTATATTACTAAGTGGTGAGACTACAGTTATTTTTTTTCCATTTGGCTTATCTGTACTGTTAAATTTTTCCTCCAATAATCACAAGCACTTGCATAATTGTGTAAAAGACAAAAATAATAAATAAAATCACTTTAACTTAATAAGTATATATCAGCAGGTTACCCCAGTCTAGAGGGTGATGGTACAAGCCCCTGAGGCCATTCCTGGAGCTGGGGGCATGGCTTTTCAGGATTTTAAAAAATATATTATAGATTTTTTACAGATAGGAAGGGAGAGAGATAGAGAGGTAGAAACATCGATGATAAAGAAACATCGATCAGCTGCCTCTTGCACACGTCCTACTGGGGATGTGCCCGAAACCAAGGTACATGCCCTTGACCAGAATCAACCTGGGACCCTTCAGTCTGCAGGCCGACGCTCTATCCACTAAGCCAACTGGTTAGGGCATGGATTTTTACTGGGAGCCCACTTCCCTGGGCTCTGATCCTCCTGGGGCTTGTTTCTGGTCCATTACAAGCAGAAAAAGGAGATAAGGAATTTATTTTCAACATAAATTAGTGAGACCAAAGCACTTATTAATAAATTCCACTTTCTTTTTCAAAGGGCCTTCCTGTCCAGAATAGTCTCCTTCCATTTATCGGCTGTGGTTTCTTTAAAAGAGATAAATTTCTACCTGTAGCCAAGGAAGACCATCAAAACTCAGAGCACTCACTGAAGATGACAAACCTGTTTTGCTCATGAAAGGTCATTTCCGTAATCCCTAGCTCTTCACTGGCCTTTTCAGACTCTATTATAAACATGCATAAACTCTAACAGGAGCCCTCGTAGGTCAGAGTGTGTCCCACTCCGGGGAAATGCCATTGACTGTGCAAAGTCGTACCCTTGTCATCTGCGACACTGTCAATAAAAATGATGCTGTGAAGCAGAGCTCTGCGTCAGCAGAGGATTCTGGGGGAGCCACTGCCTCCTGGCCGGTTTCCTTGGCAAAACTGAGCCAAGCCTTTGTTGTAATAACCTGTTTTAGCCACTTGGTGCCACTTCTTTCCACACTGCCTTGCATGCTAAATATGAAGATGCCTTGTTGGCATTCCAACAAATCTTGTTATTTTTACCATCTCTCTTTTACTAAAAAGGAGTGCCCAGAACGTGTTTGGAAAAGCAATACACCTTACTCTTAGCACTTATTAAACATTTCTTAACGTCCCATGAAAATACTCTAAAATACTATCAACAGAACAACTGTTCCATGCCCGACTGTGCACAGCAAGTCAAATCTTTGCAAACGGACTCCTTTCCTCAGAGTGTCTCCTTTCCTTGCTAGCTTTCTCTGGACCACAGTGCAGTAGAAAGGACAAACTTCTCCACGGCCAAGAGGAAAAAAAAACAAAACTGGAGCCGGGAGGGCTGGCCAAGCCTATGATACGCCTATGGAGCTAAAGCTGTTGAAAAGTTACAATTGATGAATGAAACAGAAATGCCGCAAAACTGTATATGCAATATACTTGTAAAAAATGTGTACAGATACACAGGAGTAGGAAAAGGACATGCAGCTACATTTTAATACAGATAAAAGTAACGGAGACGATCAATGCCTTTTCCTTTGCGCGTTTTGTATTTTCTCTACTGTAAACGTACATTTTTGCAAAAATCTAAAAAAGGAACAACGACTGCATCCCCGTGAGCTGTAAGGTAAGTAGAAGCTGCTCAGGGGAGGTGTGCGGGCTCCTTTTTCTGAGCCTGGGACCCCCCTCCTGCTTCAGCAGGCACCGCATCCCGCCCAGCCCGCCGGGAAACGCCCAGCTCCCTGCGGACGGCTGTGCGCGCCCCCTCCCAACACACAGAGCACCCAGGCCTGGTTCCAGGGCCTTTTCTCTCACACACGACAGACCGCACAGAACCAGCCGGGGGGAGGGGGTGGTGGTGGAGGAAGCGTCAACCCTTCAGCCATCGCGGAGGCACACAGCCAGGGACAGGCTGGAAAATTCCGCCGGGTTTCCAAGCCTCAGGAATTCGGGGAGCAGCGGACCCAGGTAAGGCCGGGCTCCCCGCGTAAGGGGGCTGGCGGCCCGGCCCGGAGCGGGCGGACCACCGGGAAGGGGCGCGCGTAGGGGCGGGGGGGTGGGAAAGAGGCGAAGGGGAGGGGAAAGCGGAGGGGGCGGGTGGTGCGAGGGGGCGGGGGCGGCCAGGGCCTTCGCGGAGCTCCTCTCCTCCACGACGCCCGGGGAGCGGACCAGCGATGGGCTGCGAGGGCGGACGGGGTGACGGCGCTCCACTTGGATGCCCATTCCGCAGGCGGCGGCCCGACTTGGTTGCACAAAGAGCTGCAGCGCTTTGCTGAGATGTCTCAGGGGCCGAGGCTCCAGAGACCCTGCAGCAGGGCTTTCCCTCTCGGGTGGGGGCAGCGGGGCGGCGGGAGGGGGGGGCGGCCGGGTCGGGCCGGCCCGGGGCCTCACCTTGGGGTCGCGCTCGTAGTAGTGCTGCTGCGTGCGGATCCAGCGGCCCACCAGGTGGTCGCGCACCGTGTGCGCCAGCGCGAAGTAGTAGTCGCGGGGCGTGGCCACGTTGCGGTCCTTGACCAGCGTGAAGTGCAGGTGCCGGTTGAAGCTCTTCCGCACCTCGGCCACGTCGCCCAGCCCCGCGATCCCGCGCACGCTGATCTGCTTTCGCTTCTCGCTGTCCGTCAGCGGCTTCGCCATAGCGCCGGCCGAGGGGAGGAAGAGGAGCGGGGGAGAGCGGCCAGGAGATGCGAACGCCGAGGCTACGGAGGCGGCTCTGGCGCCGGGGACTGCGGCTACCCGCGCTGGCTCCGACCGCGCATGCGCCCTGCGCCGGGGCGGGGCCGAGAGAGGGGTGGGCGGGGTCCTGGGGAGGGGGCGGGGCCTTGGGGAGAGGGGCCTCTGAGTGAGGTGTGGTCTCCCTGAGCAATGGGGTCTCGGGTGTGGCTTTAATCCTTGGAATTTGGAGGCGGCTTCCGGTTTCATAAATGGGAACCACCCTCACAAGCTGGGTTTTTTTTTGGGGGGGGGTATCTCACCCCAAGTTGGCCAAGCCGGGCAGAAGTGGGAAACGGCTGGATGAGCTGGACGACTCCAGAAATGAAGCTGCAGCCCTGTTGGCCTCTGTCCCCCCAGGGCAGACAAGGGAAGAACACGCTCCTCCCTCCTCCCTCCCTGGATTTCTGTGTCCCTACCTGTTCAGGGCCCCCAGGGGCGGCCCCCAGGCCAAAGTGCCCTGGGTGCTGGGCCCTAAGGGAAACTACACTTGAAAAGGCCGTCAGCAATGCCCGCCCAGTGGGCCGACTCCTTTTGAGGCCCAGGGTGGCTCTGAAAATATCAGCTAAGAAGGTAAAAGTTTATATAGTCAACCCTAGACTCGGTGGACCTAGATTTAACAGACAACATTGCCGATCCATATGTCACATGTGAAAATTAACACCCTATTAATTTAAAGATGCTTTTAACCAAGATTTCCTCACAATTGAATTAACAGGTTGTTTTCTTGTTGTTATTAATTCTCTGTTATTTTAAACAAATTTTATCAGATAGGCCATATGTTGGGAAGGGGGGAAACTGTAGTAATTTCGCCGACATGAGTAAATATCTGCAACTATAGTCTACATATTTAAATCCAAGAGTCACTGCTTGTAAACAATATTCAGCAAATAATTAACAGGTGATCACACCGCATCATGCTCAGTAATTGTTTTTTTGTTTTATTAAAATATATTTATTGAGTTTTTACAGAGAGGAAGAGAAAGGGATAGAAAGCTAGAAACATCGATGAGAGAAACATCGATAAGCTGCCTCTTGCACAGCCCCTACTGGGGATGTGCCCGCAACCAATGTACATTCCCTTGACCGGAATCGAACCTGGGACCTTTCAGTCCACAGGCCGATGCTCTATCCACTGAGCCAAACCGGTCTCGGCGGTAATTGTTTTTTAAAATATGTTTTTATTTCAGAGAGGAAGGGAGAGATAGATAGATAGAAACATCAATGATGAGAATCATTGATCGGCTGCCGCCTGCACTCCCCCTACTGAGGATTGAGTTTGCAGCCCCGGGCATTTGCCCTTGACTGGAATCAACTCAGGACCTTTTCAGTCCCCAGGCCTGTGTTCTCTCCACTGAGCCAAGCCAGCTTGGGCTCGGTAATTGGTTTTACCGAAAATCCCGTGGGGTGATTTTTCTGCAGCAGTTTTAACTCCTGCCAGATGATGATATGTTTCTTTCTTTAAAAAAAAAAAAAAATTATTGATTTTTTACAGAGAGGAAGGGAGAGGGATAAAGAGTTAGAAACATCGATCCGAGAGAAAAATCAAACAGCTGCCTCCTGCACACCCCCTAATGGTACATGCCCTTGACTTGAATCGAACCTGGGCATATCCCCAGTAGGGGGTGTGCAAGAGGCAGCTGATCGATGACTCTCTCTCATTGATGTTTCTAACTCTCTATCTCTCTTCCTTCCTCTCTGTACAAAATCAATAAAATATATTTTTAAATAAATAAATAAATAAATAAAATAAAAAATAAAAACATACCTGTTTAGAAAACCTACTTCATTATATAACGGACTTTTAGCTTTAACAAAGGCCCCGGCCTGAATTAGCCTGTTTTTATGAAGGTTTTGCTGTACTGAGAGTGTGCAGCCCTCGGGCTGGGCTGACAGACACAGCCAGGGAGCAGCTTTCTTCAGGGCGTGCTGTGGCCTTGAAGCGCCACAAGGACTCCTCCTCTGGGAGACCAGCGCTTCCTCTCGCACCGAGAAACCTGCTTCCCTAAATCACAGGCCCTTTAAATCAAGTCAGGATGAAGGCCACACCCCTCCCTGGCAGAGGATCTGAATCCCGGAGACACAGCCTCCTCCACGGCCCCAGGGTGAGCCTTAGATAAGGGGTTTCTGGACCGAGCTTCCCACGTCTGCTTAACATGGTGGTTCCCAGGGAAACAGGGTCGAGGGCCCTCTTGGCACACAGCCCTGCCTGCTCTGAGCCTGTGGGAACACTGCTTCCCGCGATGATTAGGTCTGCACGGGAAGGAGCCAGGCCAAGAGCCGTGGTGGGAGTTTAGGATAGTTTATTTCGTTCTCTCACGGGGAGCTGAGACCATCGTGTCAGCGTCAGCCCTGAGCAGGTGGCTGGGTTCTCCTCTATAGAGTATGCAATGTAGGGTCGGGATGAGGGTGTTCAAGTTGGTCAAGCTGAGGGGAGGGCACGAGTCAGGAGAGTCAAGAGTTAACACAGGTCGGTCAGGTGAAAGGGAATCCATTTTACCTTGCTTCTGCAGGCACAGACCATCTGCCCTAAGCTATAGGAAAAGGTTTATAATAATACCAGAGGAATTCATGTGCGGGAGAGGGGGTGAGGTGGGGAATCCCCTCAGCCCAGCCTGCACCCTCTCACAATCCAGGACCACTGGCTCCTAACTGCTCACCTGCCTGCCTGCCTAGTCACCCCCAACTGCCTTCCCCCTGCTGGCCTGGTTGCTCCCAACTGCTCTGCCACTGGCCTGGTTGCCCCTCATTGCCCCCCCCCCCCCCTCTGCCAACCTGGTTGCCCCACACAATCTGCTGTTCAGTCGTTTGGTCTTACCTCACTAACCCCCCTGATGGCCTGGTCACCCTCACAGCCTGTTCAGCTGTCCATTCGGTTGTTTCAATTGTGACGGTCACTTAGGCTTTTAAAAGTGACCTCATTCGTGGCAGCCATGCCTGGGGTGCCAGGTTCACCCTGCTGTCCCATGAAGCCTTGGGGGCCTGGCTCTCCATGCAGTCCTCTCTCACCCTTTACCCTTGGGTGGCCAGAGATTCCTTTGGCCGGTCTGCGGACTGAAAGGACCCAGGTTTGATTCCGACCCAGGGCATGTACCTTGATTGCGGGCACATCCCCAGTAGGGGGTGTGCAGAAGGCAGCTGATCAATTTTTCTAACTCTCTATATATGGTGTCAGATGGGTAATCATTTCAGAAGGTGTATAAATGTCTAATCACTATGTTGAACACCTGAAACATATTATAATACGGTCAACTGTAATTTTGTTGTTGTTGCTAATCCTCACCCGAGGATATTTTTCCATGGATTTTCAGGGAGAGGGGAAGAGAGAGGGAAAGACGGAGAGAAGCATCCGTGTGAGAGAGACACATTGATTGGTTGCCTCCTGCATGAGCTCTAACCAGGGCCTGGGCAGGGGAGGAGCCTGCAACCAAGATACATGCCCTTGACCAGAATTGAACCTGGGGCCCTTGGTCTGCAGACTGACGCGCTAGCTACTGAGCCAAACCAGCTGGGGCTCATTTAAAGTAAAATTAAAAAATCAAAATAAACTTATTAAACAACCTTTGTTTACCATACTTTTCCTGGTCACTTTCCCGTAACTTACCTCCTCTGCCCAGAAGACCCAAATCACTTTTCCTTTGTTTCAGCCTCACATGATATATAGACCCAAATTCTAATCATCTCTTTGAGTTCTAATCTCTGGGTGCTCCGGTGTGCATGTGCGATGACATGCTAATAAACTTGTGTTTGGCCGAAACCAGTTTGGCTCAATGGATAGAGCGTTGGCTTGGGGATTGAAGGGACCCGGGTTCGATTCCGGTCAAGGGCATGTACCTTGGTTGCGGGCAGGTCCCCAGTGGTGGGGTGTGCAAGAGGCGGCTGATCCATGACTCTCTCATCGATGTTTCTGGCTCTATATCTCTCTCCCTTCCTCTCTGTACAAAATCAATAAAATATATATTTAAAAAAAAACTTGTGTTTGTTTCCCTCTTGTTAATCTCTTTGCTCAGTCGCATTTACAAGGCCCCAAATGGAGATTTTGAGATGGGTAGAAGAAAAAGGTTATTCCTCCCCTGCACAACTGTGGGCTTCAGAACTGGAAAGATGGAAAACATGAGCTCCGATTTAATTCTCCAAGAAAAAGAACTGCTCTTCTTCTTCTTCTTTTTAAAAAAATATATTTTATTGATTTTTTACAGAGAGAAAGGGAGAGAGATAGAGAGCCAGAAACGTCGATGAGAGAGAAACATAGACCAGCCGCCTCTTGCACACCCCCCATCGGGGATGTGCCCGCAACCAATGTACATGCCCTTGACCGGAATCAAACCCGGGACCCTTCAGTCCGCAGACCGATGCTCTACCACTGAGCCAAACCGGTTTCGGCAAGAACTGCTCTTCTGACAGCCTGGCCAGCTGTGACCAAGTCAGGGGTACGTGCTTGCCTGTCGGGAATAAGGGTGTGAGGCCACCAAGCTGCCTTGTTACAGACTGACTGGTCCTCTATAATCTCTTCTTTCTGGAGAAGCCCGTTTTAAAACCTCTATTTAGTACTAAAAAATGACAGACTAAAAAATGTCAGCTCGGTTTCTGTCACTGTTGTAGTGGGCTTTTCTGTGCTGTTGGACATAAATTACCCTTAAAGTTCTTTTAAATGGGCCTTAAGGCCGCCTCAGAAACAGAGAAGAAAGATGTCTTTATGAAATGCTATGAAAATTCAAAGAAACTGAGCGTGGGAAACAAGACATTTTTTCTGGTGGGCTAGGCTTAAGCTTGAGGGCTTGATGAGAATCTCATTGAGTGTATAGATATTGGCTATACGTGACTCAGAAGTGACTCAGTAAGTGACTCTGAAGCGCCACCAGTTTTTGATGAAACGGCACAGGCCAAGCATCAAGACTCTCTGGGATCCCAGCAACACTGCTGGC